GCCTCTCCTGGGGCACGAGTCCTTGGTGTTTTACGTGTGCTCCTATCGATTGCCGTTCTCCTGTGGCTCCAATCCGCAATGTTTTATGTACGTTTGTTGCTATAGATTGGGCCTATCCTGCGGCACGAGTCCCCCCTAGGAGGTCCCAGGAGGCCCCAGGAGGCCCCAGGAGGCCCCAAGAGGCTCCTGGAGGCCCCAGGAAGCCCCAGCAGGTTTCAGGAGGCCCCAGGAGGCCCCAGGCTCATGCGCAGAGACGCGCTCGCACTACTGCGGCTCATTCACACTCCAATTCATTCGCAGTTAGATTCATGACCAGACCGCCAAAGCTCAAGCCCGTTTATATTTGACAACTCTTGCGCCTAGACATTCACGGCGGACAGGTCGATGCGAATAGATGCACAGATGGGGAGGCCCACGCAGTGAATAATTTCTGTGACCGCGCGGACCTTCCTCTCCTCCCATCTCCCTCTCTGCACTAGACAATAATGATTTTTGTGGTGAGAGTATGACGTGAGTATGCTGGTGATGGTGAGTGATGGTGAATGATGGATGATGGATGGTGGATGATGATGATGATGGTGATGATGATGATGATGATGATGATGATGATGATGATGATGATGATGATGATGATGATGATGATGATGATGATGATGATGATGGCGATGACGATGACGATGACGATGAGTAGATGATGAGGATATCTCGAGTGGCTTGCTGGTTTTAGCATTCCTACGGGGGGCAGCCAAGGGTATTGCACGGCCTCCGTTCGCGCCAAAATGGCTGGGATGTCTCGAGCGGTTGGCCTGTTTGCATGCTCTACATCTTCCGCTGCCGGAGCAGATTTTGAGGATGGCTCGTGCGAGGCGCCTCCTAAGGGGGGGCCGCCAGGGGGTATCACATTCCTCCGTTCGCGCAAAAAAAGCAGGGATGTCCCGAGCGGTTTGCCTGTTATGGTGCCCGACTTCCTCCGCCGTCGGAGCAGATTTGGAGGATGTCTCGAGCGAGGCGCTCACTTTCGCCTCCAAGGGGGAGCCGCCAGGACGTATTGCATTCGTCCGTTCGCGCCAAACTGGCGTGGATGCATCGAGCGGTTTTCCTGTTGTGGTGCCCGGCATCCTTCGCTGTCGGAACAGAGTTGGATGATGTTCCGAGTGAGGCGTTCATGTTCGCCTCCATGGAAGAGCCGCCAGGTGGTATTGCACTCGTCCGTTCGCGCCGCAATGGTGGGGATGTCTCGAGCGGTTTGCTTGTTTCGGTGCCCGAGGTTTTCCGCTTTTGGAGCAGTTTCCGAGGATGTCTCAGGAGAGGCGCTTATTTCAGTACTCCCAAGGGGGGGCGCCAGGGGGTACATCGCAGGCCCGTTCGCGCTCAGATTGGGGGGATGCCTCAGGCGGTTTGCCTGTTTGGGTGCCCACATCCTCCGCTTTCGGAGCAGTTTCAGAGGATGTCTCAGGCGAGGCGCTTGTTTCAGTACTCCCAAGGGGGGGCGCCATGGGGTATATCACATGTCCGTTCGCGCCCAGATTGGGGGGGATGTCGCAGGCGCTTTGCCTGCTTCGGTGCCCAACATCCTTCTCTGTCGGAACAGCTTCCGAGGATGTCTCAAGCGAGGCGCTGGCTTCAGCATTCCCAAATGGGGACGCCAGGGAGTATTGCACAGGCCCGTTCGCGCCCAGATTGGAGGGATGTCTCAGGCGGTTTGCTTGTTTGGGTGCTCAACATCCTTCTCTTTCGGAGCAGTTTCTGAGGATGTCTCAGGCGAGGCGCGTGTTTCAGCACTCCCAAGGGGGGAGCGCCAGGGGGTATTGCCCGGGCCCGTTCTCGTCTTCACGGATGGATTTTCATGACAGGTGTTCGTGAGGAAAGGAGGAGAAAGAGGAGGAGGACAAGGAGGAGGAGGAGGAGGACGGAAGGAGGAAGCAACTACTTAAAGTCGTCGTAGTCGTCGGCGTCTCTCTCGGCCTCGTTTTCCACGTGGATTCGCTGGCACTCGGCTATTGAAAAGGACAATGTCTTCTACCGAAGTTTGCCACCACTATGAGATGCACACATGGGGATCTCCGCGTCGAGTATTTTTTGGGGCCATGCTCGTCTGCACTCAGAGCAGATCCTGAGGTTCTCTCATGCGGTTTCCTGGTTCTCGCGCTCCTAAAGGGGGGACCGCCAGGGGTATTGCACGGTTTCCGTTCGCGCCCAGATTGCGGGGATGTCTCGAGCGGTTCGCTTGTTTAGAAGCTTAACATCTTCCGCTGTCGGATCAGATTTGGTGGATGTCTCGTGCGAGGCGCTGGTGTTCGCACCCCAGGGGGCCCAGATAGCGATGATGCCTCGAACGGTTTGCTTGTTTTGTTGGCCAGACTTGTGGGCACGGATCCTCTTCAGGATGCCACAGAAGGCTCGAGCAGGCTCCAGGAGGACCCAGGAGGCCACAGGAGGTCCCAGGAGGCATCAGGAGGCCACATGAAACCGCAGGAGGCCGTAGGAGGCACCAGGAGGCCCCAGGAGGCCCCAGGAGGCCCCAGGAAACACCAAGAGGCACCAGGAGGCAACATCAGGCCACAGGAGGCTACAGGAAGCGACAGGAGGCGCTCCAGGAGCCCCCACGAGGCCCACGGAGCAGGAGGCCTCAGAAGGCCACAGGACTGGCTCCAATCCCACGTGGTTTACACATGTTCATATACATCGTCCTTATCCTGCCTATCCAGTAAGTGTTTTACGTGTGTTCCTATAGATTGGGCCTGTCTTGGGACAAGAGCCCTTGATGTTTTACGCGTGTTCCTTTACATTGCCCCTCTCCTGTGGATCCAATGGGCCTCTCCTGGTGCACGAATTCTCCACTCCCCAGGAGGCCCCAGGAGGCTCCTGGAGGCCCCAGGAGGCCACACGAGGCTCCAGGAGGCCTCAGGAGGCCACAGGAAGCCCCAAGAGGCCTCAGGAGGACCCAAGAGGCTCCAGGAGGCACCAAGAAGCCCCAGGAGGTTACAAGAGGCCCCAGGAGACCCCAGGCTCATGCGCAGAGGCGCACTAGTACTACTCAGACTCATTCACACTCCAACCCATTCACAGCTAGATTCGCTCCCAGACCGTCACTACTCAAGCCCACGTATAGTCGAACATTCTTGCGCCTGGACGCTCACGGCGGACAGGCCCATGCTAATGTGTGCACACATGAGGAGCTCCACGCAGTGAGTAATTACTCAGACGGCTCCGACTCACACTACACTCACACCTCCCTCTTCCCCCACTCCCCTTCACCCAGACTTGCTCATACAAAGACTCACTCGCACTCCGAACATGCCATGCAGCATGGCATGTTCGGAGTGCGAGTGGCCCATGCTCATATTCACTCGTACTCATACTCAGATTCCTCTTCCACACTCAGCATTGCTCACACTGAAACTCGCTCACACCCCAACTCACTGACACTCCGACACACTCACACTTCGACGCACTCGCACGCAGACTCTCTCATCTTCATTTCAATTGATGCGCAGACTCATTCACACTCAGGCTCACTCACTCACTTTCGTCGGCGAGGCGCTGGCTTCAGCACCCCAAGGACCAGCCGACAGTGGTGGTTGCACGGGCCCGTTCGCGTCCAGATTGCGAGGACGTCTCAGGCGATTTGCCTGTTTGGTAGCTCGGATCTCGCTGCTTTCAGAGAAGGTTGTGAGGATGTCTCAGGCGAGGCGCTGGTTTCGGCACTGTAGGGGGGAGCCTCCAGGGCTGGTTGCAGGGGCCCGTTCGCGGCCAGGTCGTTGGGACGTCTCAGGCGGGTTGCCTGCTTGGTGGCTTGGACTTCGCTGATTTCCAAGCAGATTGTGAGGATGTCTTCGGCGAGTCGTTGGCATCAGCACCCCAAGGGGAAGCCGCCAGGGAGCAGATTTGTAGGGGATGTCTCGAGCGAGGCGCTGGCTTCAACACCCCAGCGAGGAGCCGCCAGGGAACAGATTTCGAGGATCTCTCGAGCGAAGCGCTGGCTTCAGACACCCAATTGGGGAGCCGGCAAGGGGCCCGTCCGTTGCCAGAGTCTGAGGATGTTTTGATCAGCTTGCCTGTTTTTTCTTTCCAGAGCAGATTGTGAGGATGTCTTGAGCGAGTCGCTGGTCCAGGGGCCCGCCCCGTCTTGGCCAGATTGTGGGATGTCTCGGGCGGTTCGTTCGTTTGGTACCCGGGCTCATCTGCGTTCAGAGCAGATTGTGGGAATGCCTCTAGCGAGGCGCTGGTTTCAGCATCCCAGGGGAGCCGCCAGGGGGTAATTAGGGCACTCGCCTGTTCGCGGCCAGATTGTGGGGATGTCTCACGCGAAGCGCTTGTTTTGCACCTCCGACTCCTGCGCATTCAGATGCCGTTGATCACCTCGATGGAGGGGGAAAGACGACCGCCGCGAGGGAGGAGGAGGAAGCGTGGAGCGGGGAGAACGGAGGAGGGTGCAGGAAGAGGGAGGGTCTACGGCGAGGACGGAGAGGAGTGAGAGGGGATGGGGGGGCCGCCGGGGAGGGGGACACCTGCCAGGGCGGGGGAGGCAGGAAGGACGGAGGAGGGAGGAGCTGGGAGGTGGGAGGAAGGAGGCGGAGGAGGGAGGGGGGTACGACGATGAGGATGATGAAGAGCAGGGGAGGGGCCTGCTCACTGCATGTCTGTCTGTGAGCTGTTGCTGGCGATCGCGGCCACCGCCGTCGCCGTCGTCGTCGTACGCACCCGTCGTCCACTCGGACTCGCTTCCACGCCCAGACGCTCACAGCGAGACATTCTCAGCGAGACGTGCCAGAACATGAGGTGCACATACATGGGGATACCCGCGTCGAGCAATTGCTCTCTCAGGTCCCAATCTAATTACTGCCTGGGCGCCTTCCACTTTCAAGGATCGAGCGGTTTTCCTTCAAACCCTCCTCAGGAAGCGGGCGGAACCGCCATCATTTTCAGCGCCTCCCTGTTTCATGTTTCTACCCGCTGCTTCCGATCGATGGATGCTCCCCCCTCCTGCGCCAGCGGAGGCCGCGCTCTTCACCCCAACCGCGGCGTCCACGTTGGGTCCGCAGCCAGCGGCGGATCCCGAGCCGCCGAAGGCGCCGGCATTCCCCCCCCCCCTCCCGCGGGGGCGTTCAGGAGGGGGGTGAGGGCCACGGGGGAGCTGTACATTTATGGCCGGGGGCCATGGTGGAAGCTGGTACGTGTTGAGTTTTCCAGCCGCGTTGCGCTCTCCAGCAGCCGCACCTCCCCGAGGGCTTCGAGGGGGGGCCCGGATCGTCCAGAACGGCCGCCAGAGGTTCGAGTTGTGACCCAAAAGCCACCAGGCGTCAAGGGGGCGGGATAAAGGCTAGAGTGTATGTGTGTGAGTGTTTTTTTTTGTTTTGTGTGTGTGTGTGTGTTTGTGTGCATGTGTGTGTGTATGTGTGTGTGTGTGCGTGCGTGCGTGCGTGCGTGCGTGCGTGCGACCGTGTGTGTGTGTATGCGTGTTTGTGTGGGTGCGTGTGTGTGTGTGTGCGTGTGCGCGCATCTGCTGTTTTCGACCTTTTACGCCTCGACGCTGCGCGTCAGGCTGTGGCGCCAAGCTATACATATACAAAAATAGATAGTATGTATATGTATATACATGTTTATGTGTGTACTTACATATGCATACACACATACAGATGGTCCTAACTACTCACATGTATACGTATACACATATATGTATGGGTGTTTGTGTGTATGTGTGTGTGTGGTGTGTGCGTGCGTGCGTGCGTGCGTGCGTGCGTGCGTGCGTGTCTGTGCGTGCGTGCGTGTGTGTCTGTGTGTGTCTGTGTGTGTGCCTGTGTGTGTGAGAGTGTGTTTTGTGTGTGTGTGTGTCTCTGTGTGTGTGTGGGCCTTTGCTGTGTTCGACCTTCTACGCCGCGACGCTGCGCGCGAGGCCGCGACGCCAAAAAGTGTGTGCGTGTGTGTGTGTGTGTGTGTTTGTGTGGATACCATGGCCGGGGCAACGAAGTCTCCCAGATTTGTCCAAGGCCCGCTCAGCTTCCTTCGATTTCTCAGGCCTCACCTCGTCCGCGCTGTTTCAACGCGCAGCGAATGGGCAAAGGGCACGGCCGCCGACGCCTGGCGCGGAGCCCCCTTGAGCAGTCGGGCACCTTTGGCCGCTGAGGAATGCAGTGCGGCGCAGCGATCGCAGCGAATTCTGCGGCGCTACCCCTGGCGCATCGCAGGCCGCCGAGGAGGATCACGGCCTGCCTCTGGCCTCCCAAATGCGGTCCGAGCAGATGGGGCCAGACGATCGTGTCACAGCGCCGATGCTTCTGCGATGCTTCTGCGGTGTGGGGCTCGATTTTCTCCACGCCGACGTCGCCGCGTTCCTCCGATCCCAAATGCTCGGACCCCACTTTGGAGGCCTCTACCTCCGCATGTCCGCTCGGGGATTGAGTATCGAGTCCGGCGGGCGCGTGTCTGCTTCGGCGTTCGGGGGCCGCCCTCGGGAGCATCGGCAACAGCTTTGCATCGCTCGGACGTGTGCGCTCATCTCGGCGAGGTCAGCGCCGGAACATCTGGACCACCTTGAACAATCTTGACAAACAACGTGCGCGAAACCATTAAATGCACGGTGAATGGACGCCCGAGCGATGGCAAAATTATGATCCAGGATGAGCAATGGCCCCCCATGGGCCCGTGTCGGATAATGAGTATGTTGGCAAGTGGAGGAGGAGGAAGAGAAGGAGGAGGAGGAGAAGGACCAGTGCAACCCAAGGCTCATCAACGATGTTGCAATCAACCCTCCCTCCAAGTTAAGTTCCCCCGTAATAGGTCCCTACAAAGATGTATCTCCACTGCGGGAAGTGCTCCGTTGGAAGACAACCGTCTGAAGATCTGCAACCATGCCAAAGCACCATTCCTCGGACTTCGTATGCCAAAGCACCGTTCCTGAGACTTCGTGACAGAGCACCATTCCTGGGACTTCAGCATCGCAAATCAACGTGGCCGTCGCGCCATGACAGTTCCTTAACCGTGCCAAAAGCACCAGTTCTGGGACGTCAGCGAGAATAATCCGTGAAACCGCTGTAGACTGTTAAGGCGAATGCGCGCGGCGTGAAGGCGAGAGCCACATGTGCCGAATTGGGTGTGCGGGACGCATGCGGGCGGCAGCACTGGGGCCTTCGGTGGAGCTCCCTATGGGGCCACGAAGCGTGTGAGGGGTGTGCCGAATTGGGTGTGCGGGACGCATGCGGGCGGCAGCATTGGGGCCTTCGGTGGAGCTCCCTATGGGGCCACGAAGCGCTGTACTGGGTGTACTGGGTGGGAGAAACGCAAGGAAGAGGGGGAGGAGGGAGGAGGGGAGGAGAGGAGGAGAGGAGAGGAGGACGCGGGAACCGTCTCTTCAAAACGAGGACCCAACACCACAGGATGGTTGGGGAAAACCGCCTTCCATTCGTGAAGCTGCTGCAAACCTTTAAGACGAAAGTGCGCGGCGCTCAGGTGAGAGCCCCATTTTGAGAAGGAACCGCCCTCCATCCGTGAAACTTCTGCAAACTGTTAAGACGAATATGCGCGGTGCCAGGGCGAGAGCCACATGTTGAAAGCAGCTCGCCCTCCATCCGCAAAACTCCTGCAAACTTTTAAGACGAATGTGCGCGGCGCTAAGGCGATAGCCACATCTTGAAAACGGCCCACACTCTTGGAATATGCGCGGTGCCAGGGCGAGAGCCACATTATGAAAGCGACTCGCCCTCCATCCGCAAAACTCCTGCAAACTTTTAAGACGAATGTGCGCGGCGCTAAGGCGATAGCCACATCTTAAAAACGGCCCACACTCTTGCAAATTCTCAGCTTCAGAATCAGACAGTGTGAGGACGTCTCAGGCGAAACGCCTGGCCCGCCCTACCGACCCGTCTCGGGGCGTGACAGGAAGGAGCTATCTACAAGGAAGAGGGACGGAGGAGGAGGAGGAGGAGGAGGAGGAGGAGGACGAGGAGGAGGTTGTGGGTGAGAGGTCTGGGGCGCGGATCGGGAACATCGCATCGTCGAATGTGTGGGACTCTGGCATATCCTGAAGGTGGCAGGGCTCGGCCGACAGTCTGCGCGGGCGCCCCTGCTGTGCTCCCGCCCTCGGCTGCCGTGCAGTCGAGCATCTGCTCAAGAAGCCTCCTCCCGAGAAGCTGGGCCAGCGTTTCTTACCACATGGCCGAACAGCTGACCAGTGTTAACAACAGAACTCTGCCCAGGCTTTTTTTTGAGAGACTTCGGGGAGCGGGCCACGATATCCTCACAAGACGCTTCTGTTGATCAACTTGTGGAGACCTCTGGCCTGTACCGCCGACCCGGCACGCTCTGGGACGCTCCGTGCGCTCTCGTCCCGATGGTAGTTTGTGAGCTTTACCTCGAGGAGGATGAGGGAGGATGAGGGAGGAGGAAGAGGAGGAGGAGGAGGAGGACGAGGAGGAGGAGAAGGAGGAGGAGGAGGAGGAGGAGGGGAAAAGGAGGAGTGGGAGATGGGTTTTGGCAGTCGCCTTAGGCAGAATGTGTTGAATGTTGAATGGAATGTTTGCGTCGTGTCCGTCGGTCGAGATTTGTTGGCGGGCTAGTTCCCGGACGGGTTGGCTCGTTGCTTGGTCGTTGGGCGGGTTGCAGCGTGAATATTTCATGGTATATTGCTCGTCCCAGTCATTTCTACATTTCTATCCTCTATTCTAGAAGACGCCTGCGGCGAATCACCGCCGCCTCTGCCTTCCTGCAAAGCGACTCTTTGGCCAAACGTTTGGGTTCAGAGCGTGGGCAAACTATCGGACCAGGTGTTCCCAGAGCCGCTGTGGAGACCTTTCGAAGAACACGTGGGCGAGGAAGAGGAGGATGAGGAGAGGGGGGAAAAAGGAGGAGGAGGAGGAGGAGGGGAAGGACGAGGAGATCTCTTAGGAGCCTCGTGCATCATTCCTGGGGACTCCTGGGAGCTTCCTGGGGGCCTCTTGGATGCCTCTTCGGGCCTCCTCGGGCCGCTTGAGGGCCTTTGGGGGCTTCTCGGGGACATCTTTCGCCGTCTTATGGCAATCGTGGCCCGTCTGACGCTGTCGGAAGCCGCCTTCGGGACCTCTCTGGGCCTTCTTGGGACCCTGTCGGGGCGCTGAAGATTCGTCTGGAGGCCATCTTGGGCGTTCTGGAGGCCTCTTGGGCCGTCTTGGGAACCTTTGGCGGCCGTCTTGGGACTCTTGGGTCGTCCTGGGGTCATTTTGGAGGTCTCTTGGGCGATCTTGGGGCAATCTTAGGCGCCTCGTGGGCCGTCTTGGGCCGTCGGAAGGCCGTTTTGAAGCAAATGCGAAAATCTTTGAAACCAATGGAAAATCAATGATTTTGGTCTCGTTGGGCCTTCCTGCAGCTCATTTTGGAGGCTTCTTGTTCCCTCTTGGGAGTGCTCTTGGAGACTTCTCGGGTCGTCCTAGGCTATCTTGGAGCCATCTTGGGCCGTCTTGGGTGTATCTTGGGCCGTCGCTGGTGCATCTTAGAGCCATCCGGGGCCCTCTCGGAGCATCTTGGCCGTCTTGGAGGCGTCTTGGAGGCTTCCTGGAGGCCTAATTGGCCCACACGGGCCGTCTTGGAGGCGATTTGGGCTATGAGAGGTGAATTTGGGGAGCTTTCTGGGTGGCCGGCGCGATGTGCCGAAGCCCGAGGGGAGTTCTCGAAGAAACACAGCCCACCAAACGTATAGCACGCCAGGCACTCCTGTGGTCAGCCAGCAGGGGGCGGCGAATCGAAGACGCCTACGGCGAATCACCGCCGCCCCCTGGCTTTTTGGAAGCGCCTGCGTGGCCGAAAGTTGGTTTTAAGCTTGGCCAAGCTATCGGGCCACGCGTTCCCCGAGTGGGTTTCGAAAGCCTTCTGGGCACACCGAGTCGGGCGAGCTATCGGACCAGGTGGTTTCCGAGCTTCCGGGCCTCCTGGAGGACGTCTTGGAGGGGTCTTGGGCCGTCTTGGGGGCCTCTGGCGGGCCTTCTGGGCAGTCGAAGACCATCTTCAGGCCATCTGGGGCCGTCTTGGGTGTCTTGGAGGCCTTCTTGGCCGTGCTTGGAGGCATCTTGGAGGCCATCTTGGCCGTCTTGGAGGCCATCTTGGGCGTCTTGGGGGCCTCTTGGGCCGTCTTGGGGCCTTGTTGGGGCCCTCTTGGGGGCCTCCTGGGCTGTCATGGGGCCATCTTTGAGGCCTCTTGGGCGCTCTTGGGTCGATGCTGGGAGCCTCTTGGGCAGTCTTGCGCCGTCGGAGAGCTGAACAGGAGAAAATGCCAAAATCCTTCAACAACCTAAGGAAAATATATGATTTTGGCCCTTTCGGGCATTCCCGGAGGACGTCTTGGAGGGCTCTTGGGCCGTCTTGGAGGCCTCTTGCGGGCCTACAGGGCTGTCTTAGGCCATCTTGAGGCCATTTTGGGCCGTTTTGGGTGCATCTTCGCGCCATCTTAGCCGTCTCAACGGCCATCTTGGGCGTCTTGGAGGTATTTTCGAGGCCATATTGGCCGTCTTGGAGCCATCTTAGGCGTCTTGGGGGCCTCTTGGGCCGTCTTGGGGCCTTCTTGGGGCCCTCTTGGGGGCCTCTTGGGCTGTCATGGGGCCACTTGGGCCGTCTTAGGCCGTTGGAGAGCTGAAAAGGAGCACATGCTAACATCTTTCAAAAACCTTAGGAAAATAAGTGATTTTGACCGTGTCGGGCCTTCCTGGAGGACGTCATGGAGGGCTCTTGGGCCGTCTTGAAGGCCTCTTGTGGGCCTGTTGGGCAGTCGTAGGCCATCCTGAGGCCATCTTGGGCCGTCTTGGGTGCATCTTGGGGCCATCTCGGCCGTCTTGGAGGCCATCTGGGGCTTCTTGGGCGCCTCTAGGGCCGTCTTGGGGCCTTCTTGGGGCCGTCTTGGGAGCCACTGGGGCCGTCTTGGAGGCTTCTTGGGTACTCTTGGGGCGATCTTGATGGCCTCGTGGGCAGTCTCGGGCCGTCGGGTTCCGAAACTGAGCAAAAGCCAACATCCTTGACAAACCTAGGGAAAATGAATGGTTTTGACCTCTGCGGGCCGTCCTTGAGGACCCTGGGTGACCTCTTCGAGGCCTTTTGGGCCGCCTTGGAGGCCTCTTGGAGGCCTCTGGGGCCGTCTTGGGCCGTCTTAGGTGTTTCTTGTGCAAACTTGGAGGCATCCTGTATTATCTTGGGCCGTCTTCGAGCCCATCTTGGGCGAACTTGGAGACCATCTTGTGCCATTTTGGGGGGCGCATCTCTGCGCGCCCTTCCGGGTGGCCGGCGGGACAGGCCGAAGCCCCAGGGGGAGTTCTTTTGGGAAAAGAACCGAAACTAAAAGCGAAAGGGTTTAGCACGCCGGGCACCCCTGTGGCAAGCCAAAAGGGGCGGCGGATCTGGTTGCCTTCGGCTCATCCCGCCACCGTGACTGGATTTGGGGTCCAAGGCTTTTTGGAGGTTCGTTGAGATCTGTGGGAAGCTTCTCGGGGGGCTTCTTGGTGGGAGCCTCTGTTGGGCCTCCTGGGAGCCTCTTGGGAGCCCCTTGGGGCCTCTCGGGAGCATTGTCGGGCTTCCTGGGAACCTCTTGGGGCGGAAGGCTCGAATCGTCGGTTTATGTTCCCCCCTCGGGGCCGTCCTGGGGCCCTCGTGGGCAATCTTGGGCGCCTCTTGGGCCGTTTCTGGGCCCGCCTTGGAGCCTTTTTGGGGGCCTCTGGGGTTGTCCTGGGGCAGTGTTTGGGGCCTCTTGGGCCGTCTTGGAGCGTCGTAAGCTCGAAAAGGCGAGAACCTCAATAGCATTTAGAAAAACCCAAATGAAAACACATATGTTTGCCCTTTGGGGGGTCCTCTTCTTGGGGAGCCTCTTGGTCCGCCTTGGGGCCATCTTGGGCGGGAGCTCTCTTGGGCCGCCTTGGCAGCCTTGTCGGCGCTGCCGCCCCCCCCCCCCCCCAGGCCTAGCTAGACGCCCCCGCACCCCCTCTCCTGCGGCGCGGGAGCGGCCCCTGAAATGGTAGAAGGTGGAACCATCCCCCCCTCCCGAGCGGCCCACGAAACGATAGAACCCCCCCACCCCCCTCCCCCCTTTCCTCGGCAGAGTCCCCCAGGCCCCCCTTCCCCAGCAGAGCTGAAGCTCAGGGTGGAGCTTTTTCCACGTCGCACGCCGGGCTGGCGGATTTTAGGCTGTACGATTGCGGTCCGTCAGTTGCAGTATCGGTGTTAGGACAGGCCCGCTCCACCTCACACGCCAGGCCCGCTCCAGGCCGTGTTACAGTATCGGTGTAAGGAGCAGGCCCTTGGCTGGGTCCGACAGTTGCAAAATGACCTGCAGTATGTGTGGAACATGTTCCAGCCTTCTCCGTACTGCCTGAGCCACTCCTCCATGCCGATGTCTGGCATGAGTTTATCTTGCATGATTTGAATGCGTGGAGGGAACTAGTGTTGCGGATATGTGTCGCACTTCCGTCTGTGACTCCTCGTCGTCGTCGGTGATGTCGTCGTCCGAGCAAGGTAAGACGGTTGCAGCACTCCCTGTTGTTTACGGTCTCTGCTCTGAGCGTCCTGCCTTCCTCACGAGTAAGGCGCTCAAAATGCACCAGATAATGAAGCACCAGCTCAGATGTCCAGCACGTTTGTATATCGACGAGCGTGGAGTGTGCCCCGTGTGCAGGACAGATTTCAAGCAGAGGCTTCGATGCATCGCACATCTGTCTGACAGAAGGCGCCAGCGTTGTTGGAATCAGATGATGCAGGCGCCTCCACCCCCCCTCCCGTCAGAGAGAGAGTGATTGCCCTCGACCTCGCCGACCGCGAGGCGCGTCGCGCCGCTCGGCGAGGAGGCCACACCCACCCGCTCGCCGTCTCGAGCGCCTGCACGCACGAGGGTAAGTGTATAGGTTTTGCACGCATGCGAGTGGAAGTGCTCGAGACACCCCTGGGGTAGCCCTGCCGAATAAACAATGTACGATGGCGGCCGAGAAATGCCCAAGTGGGCCCGTCACTCAGGGGCAACGTGAAGGGCGGATGGGGTTGCTTGCGGACGGCGGTGTCGCGGCGCCGGAGGCTCACGCCCGCGGGATCCCCGAGGAGGAGGTAGCACGCTGGAGCCAGGACCCCGCTTTCGAGGAGGTGCCGGCGGAGCTGCTGCACGCTGGTCGCTGGCGGACAGTCTTGGCCGATCGGTGGGCTTTCGGGGAGGGGATCCCCCACCTCGAGGGCCGTGCGCTGATCAAGGCCGTGCAGCGCGTGGCCAGCTCGCGGGCTGGCCACGACGGCCGAGCCCTGCTGCTGGGGGACAACATGGCAGTGATCCTCGCCTTCTCACGCTCGCGGGCCCGGGACTTCAAGCTGCTGACCATGATTCGGCGTGCGGCGGCTTGCTGTTTTGGCCGAGGGCTCAGGTTCAGTCATGGGTGGATCCCCTCGGACTTCAATAGCAGCGACGAGGGGGGCATATTGTTTGCGAAGGAGTACGAGTCGGATAATTGTGTCACCCATCTGCCACCGCCAGGTGGGTTGAAGAGCGACAGATCGGCGGGGGCCCCAGGGGCCCCAGATGGCCCTGGAGTCGGCGGCCCGCCCGCGGCCACAGCCGTTTACCTTCCGGAGCCGTCTCGACTCGAGGAGGGAGGCGGCAGCCCAGAGACCAGGGCCGCATGCCGGGCTGCTGGGGAGGCGCCTGCTGGGCGCCATCCCCCCGCGGGGCCAGGCGAGCCAGGCGCGGGCGCTGACCCGGCCGCTGGTCGGTGGCCAGTTCGGCCCAGCCCCCGCCTGCGAGCCGGAGCCCACGGCGAGCGCGGACGCTCAGCAGGGCAGCCTGCAGCGGGCTGGCCGAGCGGGCGAGCGCGGGCGCCGTGCGGGCGCCGACGGGCCTCGAGCGCGCCCCGCAGACGCAGCGGGGCCAGGCCGCGGCGAGGCTCTCGGGCAGCGCCAAGGCCGCGGGCGCGACTGCCGCTGCCGCCGAGGACGCCAGCGAGATCAGCTGCGAGGAGGAACTGCCCGGGCGGGCCTCGGCCCGCGCCGACGCCCGCCGGGCCGCGGCGCGGGCGCGGCGGATGGCCAGAGAGGACCTGCCGCCAGGCCAGACGTTCCTGGAGGCGCACAGCGTGAAGGCGGCAACCCGTGCGCGGTACCAGATGCACGTGGACGAGCTGATGATGTTCGCAGACCAGCACAAGGTGCCGCTCGCCGAGGATGCCGAGGTAGACGACTGCATCGCGAAGTGGACGAACGCGGAGTTCAGCGCGGGCCGCCGCGCGTGGCGCGGGGAGAGCATGCTGGCCGCGGTGATCTTCACCTTCCCTGACTTCAGCCGCAACGGCAGTCGGGAGCTCCCCAAAGCTTCCCGATGCCTCCGCGGCTAGCGCCTACTGAGCCCGCCGATGAGCCGCACGCCCTTGCCCTGGCCCATGTGGGCAGCGCTGGCGCTGCAGCTGGTGCGACACGGCCATAGGCTGGCGGCGATCGCGGTGCTCGTGATGGTGGAGACGTACCTTCGGCCCTCAGAGCTGCTGTCGCCGAGGCGCCGCTCGCTGCTGCCGCCCGCCCGCGGCGGCCTGAGCAAGCGGAGCCTGCTGCTGTTCCCAGGTGCCAAGGGGATCGCGCGCAGCAAGACGGGCGATGCGGACGACGCCGTGGTGATGGACTCCGTGCGCACGCACTGGCTCAGCTACCTGCCCAGTCGTCTCAGTGTCGGGCCAGAGGGCGTGCGGATCTTCCCCTGGGGGTGCAATCAGTTTTATCATATGTTCGTGCATCCAGCAGGGGAAGGTTCGTCTCGGGAATGCCTGTGTAGATTTTTGTTTGCGGACGATTCGATTGCGTAACAAGTTCTGGATTTTTCTGTATAGAGCACCCGCATAGCAGTTAAGCCTGGCACGATCCCGCCCCGGCCCCGGCCTGTTTACTGCAGCATCCTATGTGTAGAACGGCAGTTGTGAGCCACTGTGTTTTCGGGGCGCCCCGTCGAAAGGCGACTAGATTAGTATTTGGGGGCTCTGGGCTCGACCTTGGGTTTCTAAGGCGTCCTGGGTCCGTTCGCTGCGCAGGGCGGCACGGATATTGTTCTTTCTCGGGGAAGAAACATGTAATTCTGGAGGGAAAGAGCGCGCGCGAGGCTGCAGCCTACCCTCCCAAGTTAGCAAGCGTTTTAGTTCTGGCTGTGTTGTCACCTGTCTGGATCGAACGTCATTCGATCTGACACCCTCGCCTTTTCATCTCCGTGCCTGTCGGCGCTCCGCCCCCCACGGCTGTGAACTTCGGCTTGGGACCTAAACGTTTGGGATCTTTGTTGAGCAGACTCTGCATTCGAATGCGTGTTTCGCTTGGCCTCATTTCGGGCCGCTCTAAGCCTATCAGTGGCCAGTCTCCGGGCCTCGCTTGCAACAGAGTTCATTCGCCTCCGGGGGAAGGACAGAAGAGCATGTATGTGGGGACCACGAGAATGCTCTGGCGTTTCCTTTCGGTCTGTCGCCGCCGAATCCGCTTAAGCTCCCATCCGCACCTCCAATTATTTAAAGAGGATCTTAGTGGAGCAGACTGTGCATTCTAATGTGTGTTTCGCTCGGCCCCATTTCAAGCCGCTGTAAGCCTACTTGCCAGTGGCCAGTCGCCGGGCCTCGCTTGCGACAGTGTTTATTCGCCGACGAATAAAGGTTAGAAGCACATGAATTTGGCCTCTTGGGGCCCTGTCGGGAGTGCTTTTGGAGGCGTCTTGGCGCGTCCTGGTGGCCTCCTGGGTAGTCTGGAGGGTGCGAAGGCGTTTTGGACCGATCGTTTGGCGATTGGGAACCCTGTTGGACCGTCTCGGCGGCCTCTTGGGGCACTCTTGGCCTGTCCTGGCACTTTCTGAGGCCCCTGGCCCCCCCCAGGGGGGGGGGGGTATCTGACCCCCCCCCCACCGGGGATCCCCTCCTGGGACCTCCCTCCCGGGACCACCCCCCTCCCCCCGACGGGGGAGGGATCAAGGGGAAGGGAAGGGGCTTCCCTTCGACTCGATTACGACATTGTTAGTGGTTTTTGTTTGACAGGGTTGAGGATGATAGTGCGCGGACAGGGGACGACGGAGACGACGACTGACAGAGACGACGACTCGAGCAAGCAATCCCCTCACACACGCCGACAGGGACGGCGGGTATGGATGTTTGGACAGTTTTTGATGTTCTGGTTGGTTTGGGCCTTGGGCTGTTTTGACCCCCCTCGGGGGGACCTGTTTCGACCCCCCTCCAGGCGGGAGGCTTTTTTCGACCTTGATTTGTTTTTCAATATGGATTGGATAATTTTCTAAAATCGGCTCTAGACAGGGGCTCTTTTTGGAGGATGCGTGCGTGCCTGGGATGGGATCGGTTTGAAAGCACGGAAGGAACCTTAAGAGACAGCAGAGGAGCATTCCAAAACGCCCAGCGTGCACAGGGCACGGTAGCGGATCGGGGGCCTGTCGCCGATCTGTCGGCGAGGTGTCGCCGGCCGCGCTGCCCTCCCCTCGGGGGGGGGCACGCAATAGGAGCCATGCGCTGGGAGGTGTTAGCCATTCCCCTCCGATCCCCTCTGTTCGACCCCCAGGGTTCGGAAGCAACGTCCGAGCCGATCCCCGCTTGGCTCGCTCCGCCGACCGCGTCAGGGTGCGCAAGCGGCCTCCCCTGGGTATGTCACGCGCGAGGGACAGCTTCAGCATGAGTTGTTGTCTTCCCTGGCTATTCGCGTTTGTTACTGTTTCTGAATGGCCGCTAATAGGTGCCAGTAGACATCAATAGGCGCCAATAGGCGCCAGTAGGTGCTGGTATGGACATTGGTAGGCACTAGTTGGCGCTAATCGGGCGGAGCCTGTCTTCAAATCGCTCTCTCTCTCTCTCTCTCTCTCTCTCTCTCTCTCTCATGATACACATCACCTCCCCTGTCCCCCCCCCTCTCCCACGGGAGATCTCCCAGGATACTTCCAGGAGGTCCACGTAGGTGGGCACCCCGGCCCTTCGTCGACGTTGGGATTACGAGCTGCCGCGCGGCCAGCCGGGGTGTACCGCGGCACGGCCTCGGGTGGCCCCGGGGTCCGCGCCGCCACGGGCCTGCGCCCGCCCCCGCCTCCCCGCAGGCACCGCAGAGCCCCGCCGCCGCGGAGCTCGGGCCGAGCCCCACGTCCTGGGCGGCGCAGCAGCGCGCCCGCCGCGGCGGCTGGCTGGTGACCCAGCAGCAGGTCGATGCGGAAGGCCCCCCGCCGCGCTCTCGTCGTCGTCGTCGTCGTCGTCGTCGTCGTCGTCGTCGTCGTCGTCGTACAGCCAAGACGCTGAAATACGGACCACTCTGGACCCAGTATGGGCCCTGGTTTTCGTTCTTCAGGTCTGGGTATCTAGATCGGTGGACTTCTTCGTGGCCGAGGCTCGCCGTGCTCAGACATAAAAGCCCCTTGGTTTCCGATTCGGCGACCCGTATGGTCGCAAGGCGACTGTACTGGTAATGGCGGTGGTAGTCTAGGCATGTGTCGTGTGTGTGTGTGTGTTCACATCACACTGAGTGATATACCACAGGGAGACATGCAAGTATCTGCAGCATCTTCATGAATTAGTGGTGACAGCAGCTTCGATCGAGGCATCATGGCCCCTGGTAGTGTTTGGTAGTTGTGTCTGCTGTAGCCGTAGTGTTGACAGTCTCAAGGGTCGTTGGGGGTGGTATATTCGTGAACTCGCGTCATCCTAGCCCTCGGCCCTCAAGGAAGTGAGGCGCCAATCGAGCCTCCTGACAGCAGTTCCACGGAATTCACTTCGTTTGTTTATGTTGTGGTAGTTGTTGACGAATTTCATCTCTGCGTTTTCGCGTGAGAGTCCTTCAAAAATTTGTTCCCAGAGGCCCCCAGGGAATTCCACAATGCCTCAGGATGCGTCAAGGCCTAGATGTACCCCGAGAAGGTCCCAATAGGCTTCTCAGATGCCCCAGGATGGCGCCAGCGATTCCCAACAACCCCCCCCAGAGGCCTAACAGGGCCCGCAAGACGCAGCCAACAGGCCAAATGTTGCTGCCAGTTCGTCTGGCGACCGTGGTACAAATACCATTGTTATTTGTGGCCGCTTCAATTTGGACTGGTAGTCCAGTTTAGAACGCGATGGATTAGCATCCCGCCACCGTGTCTGGTCGTGGACAGAAGCCACTGGGAGGCCTCTTGGCCTCTTTGAAGTCTTTTTCGGCCTCATGGGTCCTCCTGTGAGTCTTTATTCTGCGGGCATGTTGGCGGCTTACTGGCGGTCTCGGCGGCCCAAGACACCTCCAAGAGAGCCCCATGGAGGTCATCTGGGAACATAAGTGCCACCCAGTCACGCTCCTAAAGCCTCTGCAAGACATCGCGCGACGAACCCCACAAGCGCCGAAGAGCGCTCAAGAGAACCGTGAGATTGGGGTCTGGGTACCTTCAAGAGCATCTACAGCAGCCAGCATTAAGCACTCTACATGGGTTTGCAGACGCCGCAGACATCCGATGTTTTGGTTTCTTCAACATGGGTTCCCTGGAAGCCCCGACCCTGCCCTCGCGGCCAGCTTCGGTCCCAAGGGCCAGGCGAGGGCCCCCAGAGGCCGAAAGTGACGAAGCTCCTCCATCCTGAGTTTTCACGACGCTGGAAGTCTGGGTGTGGAGCACTCCACGCCAGGGCCCGAAGACACTCGCCTCAGTGCCGGCGTCACGGCTGGGGGTTGCAAATGTCATCAGCCGCAGTCCTGAGCAGGCCGGCGAGGCCGTAGGCACGTCCCACAGACGGTCACCAGTCGAATCCGAGGCCCCGTCCCCGCCCTCAAGAATGCAGAACTGCGCTGCCCCGTTGATGTTCGGGCCGCCTCTTCATCTGGAGGCGGCGCACCTCGTGTTCTCCTCTGCCCGCGTCTTGAGAGCTGGTTCGCAAGGCCACGGTCGTGCTGCGAACGGGCCTCACTGTAGCTCGGGCAAGTGGGGCGTCGGATAGAACGGCCGCCGCTGCGCTCATTGCTCTTCCGGGGCCTCGCGGCGGAGGGTCGGTAGGTTCCTTTTCAATGAAAAAGGGCGCGGCGAGGGAACACATACACGTTGAAAAGCATAGTTTTGTTTTACCTTGCGACTTTCGGAGTCACATCTGCAAGCGTTAAGAAGCAGTTGTTTATTCATGGATCTTGAATATTGATAGAACGCTGGGTTGTGATACATGTGTACCTATATATATATATATACATATGGCTGTTGATTTCCTTATTTGGGAAAGGCTGTCTTCAGCTGAACCGCCGTCGTGGGGTCGGGAACCCTCGTCATCGCGGCAGGGCGCACGGTGACGTTGGCAGTGAGCTCAACTGGGGAGTGAGGCCAGGACGTAATCGGTGAGTGAACGGCGCGGAGATAGTCGAATGTTTCAAGCGTGCGCGCAGCCAACGATGACTGCGCGCTCTGCGTGGCGCCGTTGCAGGACGTGCTCCACGCGAGGGTGCGCACCGAAACAGAGTTTCCCAAGGGTGTTTCACATAGCTTTGAAGGGAGGTGGGTCCCCGATTCCATGGGTTAGACAGTGTCATCTCGAGACTTCCTTCTGGGCAGGGCCACTTCTGCCAGAGCAGCAGGAGCTGTTGGTCCTGATACGCTACGTTACAAGATGTCCAGGTTCTCCTCTTGTCGCGCGCAAGCTCTGGAGACGAGGGCCGCTAGATGCGCTGGAAATCCTGGAACGTCTCTTGAGTCAATCGCAGCATGATGCCATTCTTGCCCTAGTTTCGCTCCCAGATTCGCCCATCAGCTGCGGTCCCCCTTGTTACAGTGCTCCAGCGTCCTGGCCGCGGGCTTCGTTCCAGAAAGCCAGCGCTCCCCCAGATCCAGACGTCGTGTTTTAACACGCCTCGAGGATATCGTTTGGCGTTCCGGGTAGGACGGAGCCCAAGCTTCGCAGGCGATTTCTCGCCCCCATTCCCCGAGTCCCCCCCGCAAGAAACTGGTCGGTCAGGGACGAAAAGGAACTCGGGATACACCCTCAGGGAGCTATCCGGACGCACTCGTATCGAGTATGGACTCCCCCTCATCGTGTATCCCCGATCTGGGCTCCGAGTAAGTTGGTCAACCGAGGGTCCGACGAAGTTGGGGATTGAGTCGCCAAACCTCCTGTTAAAGCTGGCGCAGGAAGCCGACTGCTCTGTGGTCCTCTGCCTTCTCTGCTCCCAGAGCCACGCCTGGCCTCCCCAGTGGGCCGCGCCGTGAAGTCTCTCCTCAACAAGCTCACGCCGGAGAATTTTGTCAAGCTGTCCCAGCAGGTGGGGTGCTGCGGGGAGTGGATGGTGGATGGTGAGGCTTCGGGTTGCGCGCAGACAGTCCCCCCAAGCAGTCCCGGCTGGCCTCAACAGGCCCCCTGAGAAGCCCCCAGCTGGCCTCAGCAGGCTCCCCGAGTAGTCCTAGCTGGCCTCAACAGGCCACCCGAGGAGCACAGGACGGTCTCAACAACCTGGCGCCGCCTTCGGCGGCGGCCCTGGGGCGCTCCGCGCCCCAGGGTTGGGGTGTTGAGACCGTCCTGTGCTACTCGGGTGGTCTGTTGAGGCCAGCTGGGACTACTCGGGGGGCCTGTTGAGGCCAGCTGGGGGCTTCTCAGGGGGCCTGTTGAGGCCAGCCGGGACTGCTTGGAGGGACTCTGCGCGCGCAATCCGAAGCCTTCCTTACCAGGAGGAGACCCATAGATCAGCGGCTCGACAGGACTGAGTCGGCCAGGTTTTTCCGCATCTTGAGCCGTTGGTGGCCAGTTTCGGGCCCCTCCGAGGCTGCCAAAAAATTACTCAGGACGAAAAGCCGGCCCTGGGAAAAGGTCCGGAGCTCTGGGGAGCCGGTCATCGAACACTTTGAGACGCCGGGTGTTTGGGGACATCCATGCGTGGCTCTGCATTCTGCATTCTGGGATCGGGGGGCCGCGGGAGAAGGAGACGGCGAGGGCTAGAAGGGGCCGTGGCGTTCGTGCCCGGCTTTGCCACAATGGGCCTCGCTTTAACGCCACTGTCACCCTCGCCGCAACCAAAACGGCGACGTGTCTGGCGGCGGAAGCCAGCGCGGTGCTGCATACGTATCAGTGAGACGACAGCCGTTTGGGATCCGGGGCTTCCGCAATCAAGCAGATTTTTGCGCGAAGGATGATGACGAGGGTAAGCATGCTTCCTCCAATGGTTGTGTCCTGCTGTGGGAGGGCAAGTGAGCCGAGTGTTTGCACAGTGCGGGCCGTGATCTCACAGCGGCAGTGCTGCGCACGCTCGCGCCACAACATGGAACAGAGAAGCAGTTGGAAGCCCCTCGCCCCTTCGGGCGAAACGTTAACGCAGCCAGCACCCTGAAGCATTAGCCTGGCAGTTGGCGCCCACTGGCCCCCTGGGGCCATCCTGTCACGTGGTCCCATAAGGACTCCGCTCGGGCGCAGCGGCGCCATGCGAGCGGAGCCACTGCGGCCTTCACGACACTTCCCGATGGGGCTACGAAGCGTGCGAGAGTTGTGCTAGATTCCAGATTGCGATTGTATCCTCGCGCGACGTCAGGAATGTTAGCACACCATGGTCTCTATTTCTGCGCCGCAGTACTTGCGGTCGACGGGGGGGCAACACTTGTCTCCTTGTTGCAGTTTGACGCGGTGCTAAAACAATCGCCCCGCTGAATCCGCCTTCACGGATTACATGTATTCGTTTTCGGCGCTAACGATAACACAGGGGGAGGTTCGTGATTTTTTCCGTTGGTCGTTGTCACCCGCCTTTGGTGTTAAGGAGCTCAGTTTGCCAAGCCTTTCGTCTCAGAGGTTCCAGAATGCACCCTGAAGTCCGTGCCAGGAATCTCAGAGCGTCCGCGAAAGCTGGCCGTTTCGCGTCTCGCGCATTCGCATTTGTTCCTTCGCAGGCTCTGTACACTTGCGCGCGCCTTCTGTCCCAGGATCTGCGCGTGATCTCTCCTGGGCCGCCCACACAGATGGTATTTCCACACGACCCGTCGGTTGCGCATCGGGAGGCGGGATTTCGATGGCGGGATTCAAGTTAATGTTGCCCATATTATACCATTAGGTATTTCTCTCTCTCACCTCCCCTTCGTCTCTCGACTGGCCACGGACCACGGGCCATCTACTGGCCATCTACTGGCCATCCCAGGGACATCTTAGCTTCTGCCATCGGCTCATAATCTTGGGGTCGAGCCTGGGCCATCGCTTAACGGCTTTCGTTCCTCTGTCGCCTGTCCACTCGTGGTCTTAGCCTGGCAGCTGGGAGGGTGACGCTCACCCCCATGGCAAGAGCCCCTCTCGCAAGAGGAGGCAGGCGGAGGTGCAGGCCCTCCTCGTTGCGACAGGCCACGTCCCCGTCGTGGGCCCTGCTCGTCTCTAAAGGGTCAGAGCGGCGTTCAAGAGGACGCCTGGGAGGGCCCAGGCGGTGCAGACTGCCAAGCATGCGGTACAGTAGGCACGTCAAATAAGAGCCGGGAGCCTGGAGACGGGGTCAATGCAAGCCGAGATCAGCCAGATCGCCGGGTTGAGCAGGATCCTGCAAAGCCAGGGTTACATTGACTTGGGCTAGCGCGCAGCATCCTGCAGGATCTTGTTGCAGGATCCTGCAAAGCCCCCGATTGACGGGGGTTTGCATTGACCTGGGTCAGTAGATTCCCGAAGGAAGTCAGGCCGCCAGCATCTGCCCCACGGAATGTTCTTGCTTCCTAGTGGCCCAGGGACCCACAGAAGCTCTTGGGCACCATTTGGTCATCAAAGCTCGGCGAAGACTTTGCCCGAACTGTGCGCCCCAAGATTGTTTGGCGACCCGTTGACTCTCGGGGACCCTGGAGTAGGAGTATGTGGGGTCAAAGGATCGCGCTGTATCGTCGATGCATCTCCGACGCGTCGCGATCTAGGGCCCGTTTTTATCCATCCCGATGTCGCCGACGCATCGCCGATGCATCGGTTATGCGGTGCGGTATTCTGGCCGCTTGTGGAAGGCCTTCAACGCCGCCGGTGGCCCAAAAGCGGCCGATAACGATCTGAGGTTTCGGAAAGCCACGATTGTTCCAGGTTGAGCGATCCACGCGGTGTCACAAACCGAGACCGACGTCGTCACGACGTTCCAACGTCGTCCAGACATCCGTCAACGCCGACGCCAACGAGCCTGCCATAAGCGAGGTGCCCCGCTCCCCCCCCTTCCCTCTCCCTGTCCTCCTCCCTATCTTCCATTCTTCTTCCTCCTGCCTCCCCTTTCCTTGGCACTCTCCACCACTGAGCGCGCCGATTTTCTCTACGCATGGTCCACCCGACATCTCGACCCCGTTGCCAGGGCCATCTTCTCATCCCGGGCAGCTTCTGTTGGCCCTGGGGCCCAAAACTGGTCCGCAGCAGCCCAACCAGACGGAATGCCACCGGCTCTGTTTTCGACCCGCCAGATGTTTTGGGGGTCGCGGGGGGAAGCCCCGTTCAGGACATCGTTTGGTGGCGGGGGTACAGGCTCATAGGGGGCTGCATCGACCCCCGATCGCCTAGTCATCGCCGGTCGGGGCCCGATAGTTCACCCCGCCCAGGACCATGCGGATTTGCTGTCGGGGGCCTGTCGCCGTTTCCTGGTTTGCGTGCCCACCGCGCGAAAGAGTGCCAGGGCTGGGCGGCGCCTTTAAGCACAATATTTGTCATCATTTCCAGTTCTGATTTGCTGGCGAGTGCTTGCACCGAACCTGCCTAGCACGGTAATGGATTATCTCAGTCTTGTCGCTTCCCCCCCTCCTTTCGCGTTCCTTTCGCGTTCGCTCTCTCCACCTTGCCCCCGTATTCATAGGATTATGGGGATGCTTTCTGTCAGCCACGTCGCCGCATGACTTTGATTTAGTTTGCGCCGCATGCCTTCCTTCATTGAGCCGTTGTGTGAGGCCTCATTATATAGGTGGTCGACGGGGCCATCTGGGGATTGATGCGCACACGGCGCCTTTGGCTGTTCTCGTCTCCTCCTTCTCCTCCTCGTCCTCTTCTTTGGGTTCGCACTTGTGTTAGTTAGACGCTCGGCAGACTTAGTCGCAGCTGCACGCTTGTGGGGCGCAGTTGTTCAGTGTTCAGCCTCCCCTCACGCCCTTCGGGACCATCTCATCCCTTGCTCCTCGTTGCGCTGTTGGGAGACGTCGGCGATGTATCCCCGATTCTGGATCGATGTTTCCCCCTCTGAGCTGGTCTCGCCCTGACCTTCCCCCTCACCTGTGGGAGATCATGGCCGTCGGCATGTCCACCACGACGCATGTGGAGATGATGATTAAGGAGGTCTTCGAGAAGGCCCGCCACGGAGGGCATGCGGCATGCCCATCCGGAGTGCCGTGCTGGGACGGGAGAAAGCAGGGGGAGCAGGGGCATCGTGGGGGGGAGGGGGTACAGGCTCCGGGGGGGGGCGCATCGACCCCCAATCGCCCATTCATCGCCGATCGGGGCCCAGTAGCCCTCCCCGCCCAGGACCGTGCGGTTTCGCTATCGGGGGCCTATCGCCGCTCAGTCGGCGATGTATCGCCGATTCCAGCTCGATGTTCCCCCTGAGCTGGCCCCCCCCCTATCGTTGCCCATCGAGTGTGAGGGCGGGAGGGGACGGCGGGCGAGGATGGCAGGTCCTTGATCCTCGAGGTTCGGGGGTAGAGTTGTTCCCAACCATCCTGTGGTGTTGGCATCGCCCCGAGTTCCTCTCCTCCTCTCCTCCTCCTCCCTCATCCCTCCTCCCATCATCATCATCATCATCATCATCATCATCATCATCATCATCAGCATCATCATCATCATCATCATCATCATCATCAGCATCATCATCATCATCATCAGCAGCAGCAGCATCATCAGCATCATCATCAGCAGCATCATCATCATCACCGTCATCGTCATCGTCATTGTCATCGCCATTATCATCACCAGCCATGATCATCACCACCATCAACATCAACGCCGTCACCATCACCATCTTCGTCATCATCACCATCCTCGTCATCCTCATCAGCACCGCTGTTTTCGTCACCATCATCGACACTCATTTCGGCGCACCCCTCGCACCTCTCGCGTGGCCCCACAAGGAGCTCCACCTAAGACCCCAGTGGCACAGTTCGCATGGCGGCGCCGCCCTATTTTGGTACACCATTCACACGTTTCGTGGCCCAAAAGGGAGCCCCACCTGAGGCCCCATTTTGGCACACCCCTCGCACGGTTCGTGGCCCCATGGGGAGCTACACCTAAGGCCCCAGCGGCGACGTTCCCATGCGCCCGCGCCAGCCATTTCAGCACACCCCTCACACGGTTCGTGGCCCCACAGGGAGTTCCACCTAAGGCCGCAGTGGCGACGTTCCCATGCGTCCGCGCCGCCCATTTCGGTACACCCCTCAGACGGTTCATGGTCCCATCGGGAATTCCACCGAAGGCCGCAGAGGCGACGCTCCAATGTGTCCGCGCCGCACATGTTTGGCACATCACTCACACGGTTCGTGGCCTCATAGGGAGCTCCACCTAAGGCCTCAGTGGCGAAGTTCCCATGCGTCCGCACCAGCCATTTCGACACCCCTTTCACACGGTTCGTGGCACATAGGGAGCTCCACCTAAGGCCCCAGTGGCGGCGTTCCCATGCGTCCGCGCGACTCATTTCGGCACACCCCTTACACGGTTTGAGGCCCCACAAGGAGCTCCACTTAAAGCACCAGCAGCGACGTTCCCATGCGTCCCCGCGACCCTTTGCTGCACACCCCTCGCACGTTTCGTTGCCCCAGGAGGAGTCTTTGCCGCTCATTGCGGCACACTCCTCACACGGTTCGTGGCCCCATAGGGAATTCCACCTAAGGCTCCAGTGGCGACGTTCCCATGCGTCTGCGCCACCCATTACGATTACGGCGATCCCCCTCACACGGTTCGTGGCACCATCGGGAGCTCCACCTAAGGCCCCAATGGTGCCGTTCGCTCGCGTCCCCGCCACTACTTTCGGCGCACCCCTCACGCGTTTCGTGGCCCCATGGGGAACTCCACCGAAGGCTTTATTGGCACCGTCCACAGGTCTCCCCCACTCATTTTCGGCGCACCCCTCACACGTTTTATGGCCGCGCTTAGTCTCCCGTACTCATACCTATCGTCTTCGTTCGTGGTGTGTACCCCGCCACGCATGTTGGCACGCCCCTCGAACGGTTCGTGGCCCCATATGGAGCGTCACCGAAGACGATGTCCACAATCGCGGTACTCACACATGCGCATGGTTGGGTCCTTCGCCAGGCTAATTGTTTTGATTTTGGCCTCGGGCCTCCAGGTAACCTCCTCCTCCATGGGAACATGTTGGGAGGAAGGAAGATGAGGAGTGTTTCTAGCCCGCTTGGGTCATCGAAACGCTGCATCCGTCGTCACCTTAGGGGTCCTGAGGATTGATTCTCGAGGAAGTTTCGAGCGAGAACCTCGTTGTGAGTAAGGTCCAAGAAAGTCTGGAACGGTAGCCCTCCCCCGTAGTACCCCACCTCATGTTGGCAACTCGGCCAACGACTTGCTGTAGCCTCATTCTGGCCCCTCGAAGACCACTTGCAGTACTCACTACAGAGAATTCGGTGGACACTCCACTCAGTGCCTCCGTTACGGTGGCGGAAATGGAAGCGGCTGGTTAACGAACAGCAAGCTACAAATAATGTGGGTGAACATTCACGCCAGGCTGAAGGCACGGCAGAGGTCAGCTGAAGGTAGGGTCATACGCGGCACTTGCCAGCTGGGAGGTTCTCGTTTGTTGCCGTTACGTAGCACCCCGCAATTGCGGATAAGAGTGAGGGGGCGGGCGCGGGCGACGCGGGCGTCGTCGAGCCGGCGGACCTCGTGGCCCCCACCTTCCCTGTCGATGGGGCTCTCCTCCTCATCCTCATCCTCATCCTCCTCCTCCTCTTCCTCCTCCTCCTCCTCGTCCTCATCGTCATCGTCATCCTCCTCCTCCACCTCGTCCTCCTCCTCGTCCTCCTCTTCTTCCTCGTTCTCCCTCTCCCCCCCTCGTCCTTTCATCATCGTCCTCCCATTGATGTCCTCCCCCTCATCGGCCTCCATCACCGTCCTCCCAGCATTGGTTTGTTCAGTGAACGTGGTTTAGGTCGCGGGTGGGTCGCGGGCTCTCCACCTCCACCTGGAAGGAATGCAAAAGCAGCCCGCCGCAGGCGCCAAACAAATGTGGTTTGTACACTGAACGTGGTTTGGGTCGCGGGTGGGCCGCGGGTTCTCCACCGGGAACGAATGCAAAAGATGCCCGCCGCAGGCGCCGAAACATGTGGTTTGTACCCTGAACGTGGTCGCGGGTGGGCCGCGGGCTCTCCACTGAAACGAATGCAAAAGATGCCCGCCGCAGGCGCCGAAAAATGTGGTTTGTACCCTGAACGTGGTTTGGGTCGCGGGTTGGTCGCGAGTTGGTCACGGGGTGGGTCGCGGGCTCTCCACCTGGAAGGAATGCAAAAAAACCCGCCGCAGGCGCCGAAAATTGTTGTTTGTACCTTGAACGTGGTTTGGGTCGGGGGTGGGTCGCGGGTGGGTCGCGGGGTAGGTCGCGGGTGGGTCGCGGGTGGGTCGCGGGTGGGTCGCGGGTGGGTCGCGGGTGGGTCGCGGGGTGGGTCGCGGGGTGGGTCGCGGGGTGGGTCGCGGGGTGGGTCGCGGTGGGTCGCGGGGTGGGTCGCACGACGACAACAAACAACAACAAGCAACAATAACAACAACAACAACAACAACAACAACACCAACACCAATTTCAACAACAAACAACATACAACTAACAACAAACAACAAACAACAAACAACAAACAATAAACAACAAACAACAAACAACAAACAACAAACAACAAACAACAAACAACAAACAACAAACAACAACAACAACAACAACAACAACAACAACAACAACAACAACAACAACAACAACAACAACAATAACAATAACAACACCAACAACAACAACAACAACCACAAACAACAACAACAACAACAACAACAACAACAACACCAACGACAACAACAACGAGAATCCGCACCGCGGAATTCCACTTCAGCCACGCACCCAGGGACAGTGAATGACCGTTCGGCCCCCTCACTCTGATAAAGGTTTTGTTGTGGAGTGTTCTGGGGTTGCCCAGCTGGTACCGGGAGGCATGCATGGTTGTGGTAAGAGCGAGTGCCGTCCGAAGGTCTCAGGCCGAGGCATTCTCGAAACCTTGAGGCTGAGCTGGCCCGTTTCGTTTGAGACGTCCTTCCAAGTCCGCATTCGGGGATGACCAGATCTGAGATGGTCTGGCACGTTTCGCTTGAGGCATCCTCGCACGCCTGGGCGCTCAGATGTCGCGCGAGAGGTGGTCCGGCTCATTTCGCCTGAAGCGTCCTGGATAATTCGGTTTCGGAGATGCCGTGACCTGAGGTGGCCCCGCCCGTTTCGCTTGAGACATCCTCGCATCTTTGGGCTTGGAGATGCCGCCCGCGAGTTGATCTGGCCAGATTCGCCTGGGACATCCTCGCAACTCTGGGTACAAGGGTGCCGCGTGCGAGGTGGTCCGGCCAGTTTCGCACGAGACGTCCTCGCAATTATGAGCAATTGCTGAGGGGGAGTTCGAAGAGAAGGAGGAGGAGGAGGAGGAGGAGGAGGAGGAGGAGGAGCCTATGAGAATGAGGGGGAGGAGGAGGGGGAAGATGAGGAGGAGGAACGATAGTGCTCGCCACTTTTGCTTGCTGTGGGGCTGTTCTGGATCCCTCCAGGGCTTTCCTTGGCTGGCGGCTGGCGGGGGTGGGGGGGGGCAGGGCACCAGAGCCCGGGTGCCTGGGTCGCCGGGGGCAGCCCCGGGCGACCCCGGCAACCCCAACGGCGGCGTCAAGGAGGTGTCAGGGAGGGATTGCCTTCAAAAGATCTCGGTGCGCCCATGGCCCACAGAGGCTCTGGCCCGTTTCACTTCAGGCATCCTCGGAACCCAAGGCTCCGAGATGCCTTGACTTGAGATGCTTTGGCCCATTTCGCTTGAGATATCTTTACAACTCTGGTTTTCAAGATGTGGTTTTGAGATGCTTAGGCCCGTTTCGCCTGAGACATCCTCGGACCCCTGGCTCCGAGATGCCCTGACTTGAGGTGCACTGGCCCGTTTCGCCTGAGATCTCCTCGCACTTGGGGATCCGAGATGCGGTTCGCGGGCTCAGGCCCGTTTCGATGGAGACATCCTCGGAAACCTTTCGAGATGCCCTTACTTGAGGTGCCCTGTCCCATTCCGCCTGGGACATCCTCACAGCTCTGGGTTCCAAGATGCGGTTCTCGAGGTGCTCAGGTCCGTTTCGCTTGATACATCCTCATGCCCTGACTTGAGGCACTCTGGCCCGTTTCGCCTGAGACATCTTGGGGTCCGCGGAACTCTGAGTCCGATCGCCAGGGCCGCGCGATTCGGGGGATGCCAGCCCATCCCCGGGAAGGCTCTTGGCGGGGCCGCGGTCGATACGAGTCAGTTTTCTGAGGATCAACGGCCTGTGCGAACATGTACGGATAGACCGTGGTCTCCCGTATTAGGGGTTCTCGGGCATATGTTAGTGACCTGGGTGTTACGCTTGAAGGTGGTATTGAGGGAGATCTTGCTGGGGTTGCCCTCAGAGCCGTGGGAAGCCGGGGACCAATGGGTCGGTAACAGAACAATCGAGATTCTGATACGTGTGAAAAAGTACCCCGTCTTAAATGACAAAGCTGCATCCATCCGAAAGCAAGCGCTGACACCAGTTCAAAACTGTCAAATCAAGTTGGCAGCAAGGTTTCCGAGTTCGAATGAACTGACAATGCAACGGCTAGCTCAAAGCAGCCCTTTGCGACGTAGACTACCAAGGGTTCGGGCGGACCGTCAGGGGTAGGCTCTTCGGCTGCATATATCTATATGTAGCTATATGTATAGATGTCGTGTCACCATCCTCGTGAAAAACATAATACCGCACGTTAGACACAGCGTGGACACATGGTAACGATTATGTTCCCATGACTGTTTGTCAGCGTAGACCCCGCACACCACGTTATTGCACTGCGGTTGTGGAAGATCTGCGGTGCCAGCTATCCGATGCAAGCTAATTGATACAATTCATGTAGTGTCAGCTGTGCAGCGCAAGCTACGTGGCGCAAGTTATGTGGTGCAAGCTACGACGTGGTATAAGCTAGGTGGTGCAAGCTATGCGGTGCAAGTTTCGTGGTACAAGCTGCGTGCCATGTGGTGTGGTCTGGTTAAGCTGTGTGATGCAAGTCGTGTGGTGTGAGCTCTGGTGTTGCGTGCAAGCTCTGTGATGGAAGCTCTGCGCTAAAAGCTATACCGTGCCATCGACGTGGCCGTCCAGCGCACGAGGCGCTCCTCCTGGCGCCCACGGGCGGGCACCGGGCGAAGCCTTGGCACACCCACCCCACACACGAGGCGCCGACGGCCGGCCACGGGCGGGCACTGCAGGCGACACCTCGGCACGCCCCCCTCCGCGCCTCGTGCGCCCGCGAGGCGCCCACGGGCGCCCACCCAGCGGGCACCGGGCGAGACCGGGACGTGCCGATGCAGTGCTTCGGGCAACCGAAGCACGAACAACCCGAGTGCCCGAGGAATGCGAGAGGCTCGCTGCAATCGCATGGAATGGAGGAGAGCTCCTCCTCCTCCTCCTCCTCCTCCTCCTCCTCCTCCTCCTCCTCCTCCTCCTCCTCCTCCTCCTCCTCCTCCCCCTGGCACCATCACTCCGGCGCAGGCTGCCTCTCAAGTGGGCCTCTGCTCCGATACCCCCTTGGCAGGCCTCGACCCTCTGCCGAGCCTGGGTGCCCCCCTTCCCCCCCCTTGGCCTTGGATGGAAGCGGCGAGCGAACGCGGGCGCTGCTTGTGCGCCGATGTGGAAAGTACACCGCGTCACACGCCCGTGCCGTGTCTCTGTCCTCCGCGTCTCGGCTGCCACATCTGCCCGCCGCACTCTGCGACGAAGCCGCTTCGTCCTTCACTTGTTTTCATTGATTCTCCCTCGTATACATTTCCCCTGCCCCGCCCTTCCCGCTACCAGTATCGCCACTGATCCCTACGGCTCCTACAGGGTGCAGATCAAACAAGAGTTTTGCTTGCCAGCAGGTGTTCCACAGAAATGTCCTATCCCCCGATGGCCTCAGGGACCCGCAGAAGCACTACGTCACTTTTCGGACCCTCGAAGGTCGACGGAGAATGTGCTCCAACCTTCCTTATAGAAGCAGTTCTTGTCATAGGTATCTACGGTGCCCCCTCTTCTGCTCCACCACCTCTCGCAGTATCTCGCTCCGTCGAGCCCCATCCTTGCCTCCAGAGGCGACGTCGCAGCACCACTACATCGACATGTACGCTGATCTCTGTGTCCTTCTGAGCGAGTACTTCGCGCTGAACCCTGTCGGGGGCCTAGTGCGGGAGAGTTCGAAATCACCGAGTGTTGTTTTCGCTCCAGCGGAATCCTGAAGGATGGCTCTAACCCCCGCAGCGAATTAATTTGGAATGAGCGCCTCTTTTTCAAAGAACTGCTGGCTGCGCCGCAGAGGCAAGAAGCGAGACTGAGGGGTCGCCAACTTCTCACACGTGCAGCAAGATGCTCGTTCGTCGTCAGAAGCGATGCTTTGTCTTTACATTCAGCGTCGATTCGGAAGCTCCACTGTCTCGGAGGGGCTCGAGGGGTTCGACCACTGAGCCAATGAAGTCGGCAAAGGAACTCGGTGCGTAGACTGTCAGGAGGCCTGCTGAGGCCAGCTGGGACTACTCGGAGGGCTTGTTTAGGCTAGCCAGGACTGCTGGGGGCTGTCTGTGCGCAGCCCGAAGCCTTACCAGCGCAGACGCTCCGGCACCCCAAATGTTGGGGGGCTGGGGCTTCTGCACACCGAGCTCCCTGGTCCACCAGACAGCCTGGTGTACAAGTCGAGCCCCCCCACCGTCTCAGCCTCTCCTCTTCATCACCATTCCTATATTTGCTGACTCTGAAGCGCAAGCTGGACTGGGCGTGTCATGGCATCTCGCTTCGTGCCATGCTAGACGTGTAAAAGTTACCGGTGCCCTCTGGGCCCCCTCTCCCCCGCGGAAAGTCCCGCCGCCGGCTGGCTGGCCCCAGTGAGCCACCTCGACCCTGGCTGGATCAGCAGCCCGCGCATGCGCCTACACAAGGTTTTCCTCGGGGCCTCACGACCAATGTTGACCATCCCCGGCTGGGTGAGGAGTCCTGAGGGACTTCTGAACGTGCTCGATATCTTTCGGGCACCACCCTCTAGTCCAATGCGGCCGGAGTTGCACGTAGGGATTTTGGGTCGTTGCCCGTGCGCGGTGCTCATTCGAAGGGCGCCTTTGGGCGGGCCCATGGACGAGGATACAGGTCCGAAGCGTCCCAGAACACTATCAGAGCGTTCCAGAGCATGTTGGAACGGCCGCGGCGCCCGACACATCTTCAAGAACCGCAAGATGTCAGATGTTGGGAGGGGAACAAAGCATCATTGACACGCCGCCGTTGGAAGCCCGTCAGCATGTCTCTCTTTCGATTGTGCCCGAATGCCTGATGTTCCCTCAACAGGGGCACGCTGATGGGGTATCCACGGCGGCGTGTTATTGGCATTGTTTTTGCTCTCCCAAGAGAACCCCGAGGTACATACCCCCATCCAGTGTTGTTCCGGTGTTGGCTTCGCCTGCCATTTCAATGAGAGGAGGGAGAGGCCAGGAGGAGGCGGAGAAACAGACGCAAGGGCCGAGGGCGGAGAACGATGGGAGGAGCCACTCAGGAGGAGGAGGAGGAGGTCCAGGGCAAACCCAAAACTCATCAACGATGTTGGAATCAAGTCTCCCTCCAAGCTCACTCGTCATAGGTTCCTACACGGATTCATGTCCACACGGATTCATGCCCAGGAAGATCCTGAAGCGTTCCGAAACACCATTCTGGGGATTCCAGCGCATCGAATGAATGTGATTGTTGCATCGTGACGATCCTGAACCGTGGCAGAACATCATTCTTGGGACTTAACACCACGAATCAATATCATTCAAACTGTTGCGACCTGAGTCGTTCCAAAGTACCAGTTGTGGTACGTTGGCCATGGGAACCTATGAACCTCTTGCACATGGTAAAGACGAGTGTACGCGGCGCTGAAACATTTTGGAAAGCAATCGCTTTCATCCAGTGAGCAACTTCAATTCTTTACATCAAAGTATGCTCGGTTCTGCAGCGAGGGCCACATTATGACGAATTTCAGAAACCTCTGCAACTGTTTAAAACACATGTGAGCGGCGCTAAGGCCAAACATTACATGTTGAAACCCGCCCGCCCTCAATCTATGAAGCTGTTCCCAGTCTTGAAGGTTCAGGATGATAAGTTGGAAGGCGGTCTCAGGCAAAACGCCCGGTCCGCCCTTCCGACTGGCCTCGGGGTGCGACAGGGAGAAGTTACGTTTTCATCAGAAAAGGAATGGAGGAGGACGGCGCGCGCACGACGAGCCGCACCTCCGCAGACATCTCCGGGCTGGGAGCGCCATGGCGTACGAGAGCTCGAAAGAAAGAGCGGAGGAGGAGGGGAAGGAGGAGGAGGAGGAGGAGGAGCAGGAGCAGGAGCGGGAGGAGGAGGAGGAGGAGGAGAGGCCCTCTCTGTTAGTCTCACCTGTTACGAGATTCGTTTGCGAGCTCAGCGGCGGTCGGAGATGGCCCAGAGCCCCCCCCCCTTTGACTCGAGGGCCGCCGTACAAGCCTGCGCAGAACAGCGCGCAGCTCGAAGCTCGAGGGAGGAGGGGGTGAGTCTTGCTGCGGCCCCGGATCCTGCCCCCCTGCCAAAGGTCCCCGGAGGAGGCCTCTGGAGGCCTTGCCTCCTCCTCCTCCTCCTCCTCCTCCTCCTCCTCCTCCTCCTCCTCCTCCTCCTCCTCCTCCTCCTCCTCCTCCTCCTCCTCCTCCTCCTCCTCCCCCCCCCCCCTGCAGGAGGAGGCAGGGGGAGTGCGGGAGGGCGACGGCGAGGGGCGGCCGAGGCCCGACCGACGGCGCCCTCGAGGCCACAGGCCACCGAGTGTCGAGGGCAGGACTTGCCGGTGGACCTGCCGGGAGGGCCGTACCTCGGGCCTCCGGCCACTGGCCCGTCGGGAGTGCGTGCCCACGCCCTTTGTGTGGCTTGTGCTCTCCCTCTCTTTCGAAGGATTGCAACAAAAACCCAGGATTGCAACAAAAACCGAAGGATTGCAAAAAAAAAACCCTCGCTTGAACGAAGGATTGCAAAAAAACCCTTGAACGAAGGATTGCAAACAAAAATCTTGAACGAAGGTTTTTTTTGCAATCCAGGGTTTTTTTGCAATCCTTTGGTTTTTTTGCAGTCCCTGCTTGGTTTCCTCCCCCCCCGCCCCCCCGTCCGTCGGCTCCGTCTGCCCTTTCCTGTCGTCTTCCCCCCCCCCCCCCCTCTCGCCCCTGCTCCTCGGCAACCTCGCTCCTCCGTCTTCCTAATTTGGTCCGCTTGCCTTTGTCGGGCTTGTGATTTTCAGAGCGAGGCCTCTGATTTTCAGTGGGGGCCCCCGTGGTTTAGAGCTGGCTCGGAGTCCCAATTGGCCCAGCACTGATTCCGGCGAACAGGAAGGGAAGGGGCGGGGTTTCAGGTTTTGGGTTCGAGTAGGTTCTTTGCCCTTCTCGGCCTCCAGGGGCTATGTTCTGGGCCCGGAGTCTCAAGACCGATCTTGAGCGGCGTTGCCATTTGATCCCTCCCTCTTGACCAACTTCTCCTCGCCCACAGTTTGGACCCCCCCAGCCGCCTCCAACGCGTGGTGGGGCCTTCATGCCACCAGAACACAACAGAGCCCCGGGCCTGCGGCGCTCCCCTCCCGTCGGCCCTCTCGAGTGCGGGGCCCGCAGACCCGCAGAGGTCGGAAACGACCCCAAGTTCAGCTTCAAGCGGTTGCTCCTGCACGAGTGCCAGGCGCGGGCAGGGGGGCCTCCGCTGGGGTCTTGGGCAGCCCGTGGCCCCGAGGGTTAGCAATTTGCTCCCGAAGAAGAAGAATACGAAGGAGAAACATAATACTCAGAATGATGATGGTAATCTATAGCCAGAAGAAGAAGGAGAGGAGGAATCATACTAACAATTGCTATTATCATATTGAGAAGATGAAGCAATGACATACACACGCATAATATTTCGGAGTGTTTCGCGCGGATTTCTTGGATCGGCGCCGGGGCCTCCCTGATGGGCCAGTTGCCCGCTCGCAGGTCGACTCGTCGCTCCGCGCAGGGGGGGGGGGGGGGGCAGCTCGCGCATGCGATCCGCGCCGAGGTCTCAAGCAGGGTTCAGCTTTGTTTGGTGTTGGATGCAAGCTTCAAATGTCGCCATCTCGCCCGCGCAATCTGTAACTTGCCACGGGCAGGTACGCTCTGTTTGTTGATGTGTTCCGCAGTGGAGCATGATTTGTCCGCCCTGGCTGGCGCCATGGGCCGTTGAAGCTTCACGCCTGCACTCCATTTTCCACCATGAAACACATCGGGTGCAGCTTGGTTTGATCTTGGGCCGGGACAGGTCGATCGCGGGCTGCACGCAGCTGCCTGAAGAAGATGGAGTGGCTGGGATCGCAAAAACTGCCCAGGCTCCAGGACGTGTGCTTGTCATCGGTGCAAGCCCAAATTCCTGGCAATGCGGCTTGCCTCGCAATCAGCCGCCTCGAGACGTGGAGACGCGGGCGGGGAGGCCTGTGTACGCCACAGGGCCATGGGACATGAGGGTGCTGAGATCTCTCTCGGTGCTCGGATACTGCTGACCACCCTGAGGAGAAGGGTGAGAGGGAGGGGGGAGGAGGAGGAGGAGAAGGAGGAGGAGGAGGAGGATGAGGAGGAGAAGGAGGAGGAGGAGGAGGAGGAGGAGGAGAGGGAGGAGGAGAGGGAGGAGGAGGAGGAGGAGGAGGAGGAGAGTGCACACTCAAGTTGTTGGAAGAAGGAGCACTTTGGGTTCGGCAGGGCCTCGCTGTTTCTTAGGTCATTACATGCTTGGTTTTCTAGCGCTATTCTTGCACCAAGCCGCTCTTGGCCCCAAAGAGGGGTCTTGTTCAATACAGTTTGATTGGCCACCCTCTCTTTAAACAGTTGTGTATACACATATGTATATATATATATATATATATACACGTGCACATACATACTCGTATGTCGATTTCTCTCTCTCTCTCTCGATTTGTTGTAATAGTTGTCTCTCTCTCTCTCTCTCTCCTTCTCTCTCTATATATATACATATCCGTAGGGGCTTCGCCCCCTGCCGCCAGCCTCCTCTCTATCAAACTGGGATCGAACAGAGTCGCGTCGGTGCGTCTCGGCGCTGCCTTGGCGCATCTGGGAACAGCATGCGGGGGCGGATAGGAATCACCAGCGCATGTTGAAACGTTGGCGTTATCGGTAACGCCTACGGCGAATCACCGCCGCCCCCTGCCTTTTTGGAAGCGCCTATGTGGCCGAACGTTGAGGCCAGACCTGCCAAGCTATCGGAACATGTGTTCCCCGAATCGGTTTGGAAAGCCTTCGGGGAACACGTGGGCATCGGTCATCTTGGCCGTCTGGAGGCCATTTTGACCCTTTCGGGCCTTCTTGGAGTACGTCTTGGAGGGCTCTTGGGCCGTCTTGGAGGTCATCTTGAGCGTCTTGGAGACCTCTTGGGCAGTCTTGGGGGCCTCTTGGGGCCGTGTCTTGGGCCTCTTGGGCGATCTTTGGGGGCATTTGGGCCGTCTCGGGCCGTCGGAAGGCAGAACAAAAGCAAGTGCCACAATCCTTCAAAAACCTTTGGGAAATCACTGATTTTGGCCTTTTCATGCCTTCCTGGAGGCCCTCTTGGAGGCCTCTTGAGCCGTCTTGGGCTATCTTAGGGCCATGTTCGGCCGTCTTGGTGGGCTCCTGGTCCGTCTGACGCCGTCGGAAGCCGTTTGGGGGGCCTCTATGGGCCGACTTGGGGCCCGCTTGGAATGCTCCATGGCCGTCTTGGAGGCCCATCTTGGGCGTCTTAAAGGCCTCCTGTGCCGTCTTGGGGGCCTCTTGGGGCCGTCTTGGGTCCCTCTTGGGCCGTTCTGGGGCCATCTTGGAGGCCTCTTGGGCGATCTTTCGGCGATCTTCGGGGGCTCTTGGGCCGTCTCGGGCCGTCGGAAGGCCGAAAAGAAGCAAATGCCCAAATCCGTCAAAAACCTTGGGACTATCAATGTTTTGGGCCTCTTCTGGCCTTCCTGGAGGCCCTCTTGAGGGCCTCTTGGGCCGTATTGGGCCAGCTTCGAGCCAACTTCGGCCATCTTGGTGGGTTCCTGACACGTCTGACGCCGTCGGGAGCCGTCTTGGGTGCCTTTCTGGGCCGACTTGGGGCCCTCTTGGGGCGCTTCGGGGCCGTCTTGGAGGCCATCTTGGGCGTCTTTGAGGCCATTTTGGGCGTGTGGGAGGCATCTTGGGCCGTCTTGGGGCCCTCTTGGGGCCGTCTTGGAGGTCACTTGGGCTGTCATGGGGCCCTTTGGGGGGCCTCTTGGGCGATCTTGGGGGCCTGTTGGGCCGTCTTGGGCCGTCGGAAAGCCGAAAAGGCGCAAACGCCAAAATCTTTCAAACACCTAAGGACAATTGATGATTCTGGCCCTTTCGGGCCTTCCTGGAGGACGTCTTGGAGGGCTCTTGGGCCGTCTTGGAGGCCTCTTGCGAGCCTGTTGGGCCGTCGTGGACCATGTTGAGGCCATCTTGGGCCGTCTTGGAGGCACATTGGGGCCATCTTAGCCGTCTTGGAGGCCATCTTGGGCCGTCTTGGAGACGTCTTGGAGACCATCCTGGACCATCTTGGCCGTCTTGGACGCCATCTTGGGCCAACTGGAGGAAACATATGCACGACGGATGCATTTTGAGATCCTTTCCGGGTGGCCGGCGGGACGGGCCGAAGCCCCAAGGGGAGTTCTTTTGGAACAAGAACCAAAACCACAAGCCATATCGTCTGGCACGCCAGGCACCCCTTTGATACATCAAAAGGGGGCGGCGGATCGAAAACGCCTACGGCGAATCACCGCCGCCCCCTGCCTTTTTGGAAGCGCCTATGTGGCCGAACGTTGAGGCCAGACCTGCCAAGCTATCGGAACATGTGTTCCCCGAATCGGTTTGGAAAGCCTTCGGGGAACACGTGGGCATCGGTCATCTTGGCCGTCTGGAGGCCATTTTGACCCTTTCGGGCCTTCTTGGAGTACGTCTTGGAGGGCTCTTGGGCCGTCTTGGAGGGCATCTTGAGCGTCTTGGGGGCACTTGGGCCGTCTCGGGACGTCGGAAGGCAGAAAATTATCCTGGCGAAGGACCCAACCATATGCAGTTGTGAGTACCGCAATTGCGAGTCTCTTCTTCGGTGGTGCCCACGAACCGTATGAGGGGCGTGCCGAAATGTGGCGGGGTACACAACACGAAGGAAAACGATTGGTCTAATTACGAGAGACTGAGCGCGGGTGAATCTGAGCGCGAGTGAGTCTAAGTGTGAATGAGTCTGCGCGCGAGCGAATATATTTGCACGAATACGATCATGGCTACGCCTCGTGTAAATGTATATGAATGGGAATGGTTCGGGTATGCCTGTCTGTGCACTCGTGACACTGAGCGTGGCGGCCGCAGAAAGCTTCCGCGGAAACGCCGGCGACAGCGCCCGCACGCCGCGACGCCCATGTCGGCACGCCCCTCACGAGGATCACGCCCGCTTCCTTCCCTTATTTTCCTCCCTCTATGTCCGCGCACTCCAAAGTCCAAAGCTGCGGGCGCAGCGCGGCGCGGAGTCCCCGCGACGCGAGCTGGTCGCCCCGGAAGGGTCCCAGCGACGCGCGTGGGTCGTCCGCTGCACGGAGCAAAGAGCTGGCTAGCTAGCTGGCTGGCTGATAGCGGGCAAGCTCTGACCGCTGGGCAGAGCGACGACGGGCGAGCGAGGCGCAGGGAAGAACGCAGCACGGAGTTCCCGCGACGCGCGCTGGTCGCCCCGGGAGGGTCCCAGCGACGCGCGCGGGTCGTCCGCGGCGCGAGGCCAAACAATTAGTTGGGCAGTCGAGAGAAGGCGCGGCTCGGGGGGGGGCGCTCCTCAGGTCAGGCCTCGCGGATAAACTTGGTGAAGCCGAGCTCCCTGGCGAGGGCCGCCGCCTCCCTCCTGCACTGCCTTCTGCGCGCCGCAAACTGCTCCAGCTGCTTCCGCAAGCCCTCTGGCGGCTCTGCCAGGAAAAAACTCGATGCGCGGCGCCCGCATGAGCAGGAGGTCCTCGTGGCGCGTGGCGCGCGAGAGCAGCACATAGAGTCCAGCCACCAGTTTTTGACCTCCTTCTTGCCGTTCCCGACCTCGTGGCGGCCACAGTCCAAGATCACGCCTGGGCGACGTCGGCCGAGGGAGAGCGCGCCAGACAGCCGACGGCCCAGGGAGAGAGTCCACAGGACCGAGCGACGGTCCGGCTGCAGACCGCTCGCGCCCAGTAGGTTCGGCTGTAGGGTGCGCCGGGACGTGTGAGGGGTGTGCCGAAATGGGCGTGGGGGACGCATGCGGGCGGTGGCACTGGGGCCTTCGGTGGAGCTCCCTATGGGGCCACGAAACGTGTGAGGGGTGTGCCGAGATGGACGTGGGGGACGCATGCGGGCGGTGGCGCTGGGGCCTTCGGCGGGGCCCCCCATGGAGCCACGAAGCGTGTGAGGGGTGTGCCGAAATTGGTGTGGGGGACGCATGCGGGCGGTGGCACTGGGGCATGGGGGCGGGCGGATAGCACATGAGTTCCCAGGGGGGGATATCACAAACGAGGGATAATTTTTGCACTTGTCCGGGCGAGGGGGGGCTTTGTCTAGCAAGATATGTTTTTCGTCGAATGTGACTTGTGCGATGTCCCCCATGCTATTAATGTGCAACTGACTATATGTAGGCATGCCTGGTAGTACTGGCTTTGATCCGAAAGTGTCCAACCTGCGTTGAACCGCTTTCGAGGGAAGGGGGGGGTGGGGGGTGGACGCGCGGCGAAACCACCGCGACTGTTCTCGATGCCTGGACTAATCGGCCTGGGTGCAGGTGTAGGAGGGCTTGGTCGCCAGCGCCGACCTGGCTTCATTTGACAGGCCCGGTTCGTAGCGTGTCGGCCTGGCGTTTCTGCTCGCATGCATCGCCGCTCCCCGCATTCTGCTCCCCTCGCCTTCGCTCTATGACTTCGGCCCGTCCTGGAGGGGGGCTTGGGCATGCCTGGTAGTATGGGCTCGAATGCCCGATCTGCACCGACGCGTTTCGAAGGAAGGGGAGCTGGCGGGATGGGTGGGGGGGGAGGGGAGGCGTTGGCCACTTTTCGTTCAGAGGTCCTTGTCCCATGGAGCCTGGCCGCAGGGGCAGACCGGCCTGGCTGGCCGTCATTGCCAGCCGCCTCGCTTCGTCTGATGTGTTCAGTTCGTAGGCTATTTGCTTGTCGTCTCTGCTCGAACGGGTCTGTGAAGCGCGAGTGGCAGGCATCTTCCGCTGTGCAGGCAGACAAGGAAAAACAAAGCACCCCAAACATCTTGCTCACCAATGTCAGGATGCAGCTCCTGGGATGCTAAATTCAGCATCGGCGCTAGTATATTCGTGGCTGGAAGCCAGTATAATCGGGCCCACTCCCGCTCAATCTGGCTCAATCTTGCCTGGGTTTAGTCTGGCTTAGTGTTTAGCGGCCCCTTCCATCTGGTTGAATAGCATTCCAATCATCATTACGAAGACCCGGTAGTGCTTGCCTCATAACCGATGCCCATGCTGCATGCTTTTCCGCGGGTCTTTTTTTGTTTCTCTCTCTCTCTCTCTCTCCCTCTCTCTCTCTCATGATCCACCCTGGCGATTGTCGTCGCCAGGGCAGCTTCGAGCGGCACGGTCTTCTGATCCGCCCTGGCGGTTGTCGTCGCCAGGGCAGCTTCGAGCGGCACCTCGGGTCTCCCGACCACACCGGGCTGGACGACGAGGAGGAGCGCCAGCTGAGCGAGCCCAGCGCTTAGCTGCGCCAGTCGCTCCCCGAATATTCACGCCGTCGTGAAGTTGCCGGCCACGATTGGGGGTTGCTGACGGTGCCTTTGGCCCGAGGTGCCCCCAGCTTCTCGCTGCATTTTGACCCCTGGGCCCTGCGAGGGGTGCTCGAGAGGCCCCGGGTGCCTCATGGGCAGTCCTGGGGGCACCTCGGGACAGGGGCACTTCTGGCCACTCCGCGCGCAGGGGCGGAGGAGGCGGCCCAGGGAAGATCGTTGCCCCTCGCCGCGGCGCATGCGGCCCACCCGCCTGCGGGCCCATGGACGGGGCGGCCAGGACGGCAGATGGCCTCGGGCCGCTCTCGGCCCTCCGCCGCCCGGTGCGGGGGAGAGAAACGATCCGCGGATGGCGTCCGTACGCAGAGGAAGGAAAGACCAAAGAGATGCCCAGGCAGGCGCTCGTCGTGGACGAATAGCGGTTCTCGGAAGGCTTCAGCCTCTGAGAGCCATCGCTAGGCCGCAGGAAATGAAAAGACCGATTTTCCGTGTTTTCCGTGGACCGCATGTTGAAAGGATAGGAACATCGCATGTTTGGGTATCGATGCCGCTGTTCGTCCCGGAGAGTTCTCGTCGCCACGGCTTGATTATCTTCGGAGTTTGGTGGTCAGAACGCACCCCAGGGAGAGGAACGGGGAGTCGCGGTCTGGGTACCTCTTCACCTCCCCCGGGCATCCTGGGCGCAGCGGGCGGTGTGTGCCCCTCCCTGGCCTCGGCCAGGTTTGCCCAGGCACCGTGCCAGGGCCGGGGATGGCCCCCGGCCCAGGCACGCTGGTGGTGCGCACGTGCCCTGCGCGATGGCATCGGGGGCGGGCAGCGCACGGCATGAAGGAAGCCAGCTGCACGGGCCAGGCTTCGGCCCCGCTGCCCGGTACGCTCCTCGATGGGCGGGCGCCTCTGCCGTCAGGAGGCGCCGGGGCAGGAGAGGGCCCAAAACGGCTGCGTGCAGCTGTGTCGCGAATTCCCCCTTTGCTTCCCGCCCCCCCTTGCGCCCGCCCCAGCAGTGGGGGTTGCAGCAGTGGGCGAGGTGGGGCGCAAAACATCCAGGCAGCTGGCGGCTTGACAGAATGGACACGGCAAGCTCTTCGCCGTTCTGAGCCTCTGGAGGCCGACTTCAGGCCCTGGCGCAATTAAACAACTCACTCGGGATGCAACGCTGGCCCTGGAGAAAGGGGGCGAGAGCTTCGGGGGTCCATGTCTGGAGACAACCGACGCCGCCAGATGTTTCAGCAGATCTAGAAGGAGTCGTAAAGCGGGACGAAAGAGCAAGAGCACGAGCAAGAGCAGGGAGGAGGGGAATTGTACATTGAAGAAGAACGAGGGGAGGACAAGAAGGAGGAGGAGGAGGAGAAGGAAGAAAATCATTAATGTTAGCAGTTTCGTACCAATGTTGAACTACAGCGTTCTGACTTCCAACGTTGGTCAAATCTCTATCGCTGCAGAGTCGTTCCCAGCAGGGTCACCTGCTCCCGTCGTGGGAGCCTTTCCAGCACGAGCGCTCCGCGACCCTGTGCTCGTTTTGAGTTATGAGTTTGCTTGTCAGTCATCGCTGATCTCCCAGGTGAAGACTTGTGTCCACTCATGGAGATTACCCTTCGGGCGATTCTGGAGACTTGGGAGGGTGGGCGGAGCTTTCGATCAGTTTGCGCCTCTGGTCGGACTGGCAGTCGACCTACCTATCCTTAAGTCGGGCCTGTCCCTCTACAGGGGGAATATTCAAAAATAGTAACAAAATAGTGAGGGGACTATTTTTTAAATATTTTGGGGCATGTTTTGAGCATGTTTTGAATATTTAATCGCTTCGCTCATTCCGCCGGCCCGTATTGTGCCATCGCAGGCGTTTGCTTGCGCGTTCGTGGCCTCTTGGAGCCTCGGTGGGGCCGTTTGGGGCCTCTTGGCGCCTCTTTTTAGGCCTCTTGGAGAACTCGGGAGGCCTCCAGGGGGCCTCCTGAGCTCTCGTGACGGTCTCTTGGGGGGCTTTCGGCGGGCTCTTGGCGGTATTTGTTGGTCCTCTTGGGGCCTGGGGCCTGACGTTGTTGGTCCTCTTGGGGCCTCACGGGAGCTTATTGGGGCGTCTTGGGGGTGTCTTGGAGAGTCTCTTGGGGCCTCTTTCGGGGTCCTGGGCGCCTTCTGGGGCGGAGGGCTCGATTTTTCAGTTCTCGGTTCCCTTCTTGAGCCCCTCTTGGGCCCGTCTTGGGGCCTCTTGGTCCGCTTTGGGCAGCACTTGGGCCGTGTGGGGGGCGCTCTTGGGCCGCTCCGGGGCCGTCTTGGGAGCCTCGTGGGCCGTCTTGGAGCAGTCTTGAAGGCCTCTTGGGCCCTCTTGGAGCGTCCGGAAGCGAAAAGGCCAGAACGCAAAAAAACATAGAAACAAAAACAATGAAAATCAACGATTTTGGCAACTTGGGGCCCTCTTCGGAGGCCTCTTGGAAGGCCCTTGGAGCGTCTTGGAGGCCTCTTGGGCTGTCTTGGGGCCATCTGGGGCGTCTTTGGGCGATCTTTGGCCGTCTCGGGCCTCTCCTGGACCGTCTAGAAAGCTTCTCGGGGCCCTCTTGGACCGATCTGGAGCCCTCTTGGACTCCGAAACAGAACTCCGGCATCTCTGGCCCGACCTTGCCGGGACCTTGCCGGGGACTTGCCGGGGACTTGGCGGGACCTTGCCGGGGTACTTTTCGTCCGGGGACCCCCAGGGGCCGCCCCGCGCGCGCGAACTAGAAATACGGTTAACCAGGTACCGGAGATCTTAGCACGCCCTGGCCCGTTGGGCCGGCGAATCTTTTATTTTTCATCCAAGATCCCCCTGTAGGGGGACAGGCCGGACCTAAACCTATCCATCAAACGGCCCAACTCGCGATTTGACTACTCCTCCGCGCGCTCGCGACCGCGCGTTTGCCCGACTCGCGGTGTTGCGATGGCCTCTGGCTACACTACCGATGCTACGGAGAGTGGAGCCGAGTCCGACGGCCGGCTAGTGGACGAGGAGTGCAAGGCGTACGGAGGCGTAGGACTGTGCTGCACCTGCGTGCCCGCTGGTAGCGCCGGCGTTGTGCAGTGGTTCGGCGACTTTCAGGGCTACTCGGACCCTGGGCTCATGTGCTACTGTTGGCCCATCCAGTCGGTAAGGTGTGTGTCCCTAGCCGTCCGGCAGATCATGTGCAGGACGGACTGCAAGACGAAGGACAACGTGACCCTCGAGGTGAGCACCGCGGTGCAGTACCGAGTAGAGAAGAAGAAGATCAAGGCCGCGGTCTTCGACATCGTGAACCCGGAGGGGCAGATTCAGGCCTCGGTCGACAACATCGTGCGCTCGAGCGTCCCCGCCATGTCGCTGGACGAGGCCTACGAAAACAAGGACACGCTCTGCTCGAGTATCCTTCACTCGGTGTCGGGCATGATGGCGCCGTACGGCTACACCATTCGAAGATGAACAAACTGCCTAAACATACACTTTCGGAGCTCTGCGCGGGCTTCTTGGATCGGAGCTGTGCCCCCCTCCCTTGTGCGCGGAGCACGTCAGGGGCGTCGCCGGAGGCGCCGTCAGGGGGCCCAGCGCCGATCCAAGAAATCCGGCCGGAGCCCCGAACGTTTATATTTATATGTTTGTTTGTTCTTCTGGCCTTTTTGAACGTCCTGATCACGGACCTCGCGCCGGAGCAGAAGGTGATGCAGGCGATGAATGAGATCAACGCCGCCCGGAGGCATCGCGAAGCGGCGGTTGAGCGGGGCGACCAGGGGCAACGTGAGGTGGGGATAGGCTCAGTGGTGGAGGTGCATCGACCCCCAATCCCCAGTTCATCGCCGATAGGGGCCTGATGGCCGACCCCGCCCCAGGAGCATTCGGCTCTTTTGTCGGGGCATATCGCCCATCTGCCAGCGATGTATCGCCGATTCGAGGTCGATTGTTCAGACAGCCGACGTTGTGAATGTTCCACAGTGTGGGTGGCTCCCGAACAAGGTCTAAAGCCCTTCCCTGGGACCAGTTCTCCGTGCTCAGTGCTCTTCTGACGCCCGGCAAGGGGCCCTGGGGACTGCAGACTTCTGAACCCCTCCCGTCGTGATTTTGTTCACGATGCGAGGGTGCGAGGGGTTCCTCCCCATGAGCAGGAAGTCTTTGCGGCGCCCATGAGGTGTGGCCCGAGGGGCTGAGAAGCCTTAGATGCCCCCCAGCCCTTCCAGAAGACCCTCTGCCTTCGGGAACCCCCTCCGCCGTCTTACATTAGGCAAATCAAATAAGGAATCGGCCTGCCAGCAGGTGCCCACTGGACGCCCATTGGAGGTTAAGGGCCTCCCGCAACGTCCAACGTCAATAGAACAGCCCAATATCTCTCATGGCAAGATGTCTTAACGTATGCGCTCGTTGTAGTGAGCCGCCCCCGTCGTGCCACTCCGTTATGCACGCCGCCAAACTCTCCGAAGACCTCACCGCATGGTCCGCACCGCACCGTTTGAGGACCCAGGAGGCCCCAGTCGCCCGAGACATCTCGGAGAACGACCGAAGTTCCAAACCTGTGCGGTCGCCCCGACTTCCCACTGACTCACCATTGGGGCCATCGGTTTTTTTCACGGCGCGAGGTTGTCAGCCCTGAGCAAGTCCCCTCGAGTCGCTCCCCCCCGCAAAGGCGAGGCCGAGAAGCTGCTGCAGGTGAAGGCCGCCGAGGCCGACGCCGAGGCGAAGCACCTGAGTGGCCTCGGCGTGGCGCGCATGCGCAAGGCAATCGCCGACGGCTTCAAGGACAGCATGGAATCGATGGGCGAGGGCGGGCTGAGTCCGCAGGAGCCGAGGAAGAGACGGTTGGACGCACTGCTAGGAACGTTGGCCCAGCGTGCCGCCGCTGCCGGTTCTGGCCCACCGCGCTGCGGCGCGGCACGCTAACCGCGTCCCAGTCCCCAAGCATCTGCGCTCTGGGCTGTTCCCAGCCCCCCGTCCTGGGAGGTGGAGTGACACGCGACCAGCTTGCAAGGCATCGCGTGTCGCAGGGGCCGCCACCATGACACGCTAAGCGTAAGTTCCTGACCGCTAGCTTTCTGAGGTCCGCGCGGACCTCTTGATTGGCATTGGACCCTCCTGGCAGCGCCTCCGGCGCCGCCCCTGGCGTGCTCCGCGCGCCAAGCGGTGGGGGGCCGTCCAGCGCCGATCCACCAGGTGACCCGCGCGGTCTTCAGAAAGTTTTGCTTGTATGGAGCTGTTTCATCCTCCAAGGAGGCCGTGCACATGATGGTGACTACTCAGTACCTGGACACCCTCAAGGACTTCGCCAACAACCCGAGCTCCACCTCCGTCATGGTCCCGCACGGGCCAGGTCACTGGCAACGACAGGGTGGAACTGGCCCAGAGGCGGGGTGGATGCATCGACCCCCAATCGCCCATTCATTGTCATTCGGGGCCTGCGCCCCCCGCCCTGCCCAGGAATGTTCGGCTTCGCTGCCAGGGGGCCATCGCCTGTCCGATCGGCGACGCATCACATATTCCAACTCAATGCTTCGCCCCCTGGTCTTCTACCGCTGGAGGTAGGTATCCAGCTGCCTGCGGCAAGTCCCGCCATCGTGCCAGCCAAGCCTTCTCGGCGGCAGCTGCTTGCGCAAGGGAGACGGGAGGCCCGAACGTGTGGCACCTCCCTCCAGCGGCGATCGATACACTGAATGCGGCGACGGTTGCAGAACCAGCCCTCTTGGGGGCCTTTTGGGGGCCTCGTATATTGCGAGGGGGTGTGGCCTCGGTGGCGCGGATCGTTCGTCTTTTGCGAAGTACGCGCAGGCCCAAAACTAGTAGAGAGGGGGGGGGCCCTAGAAGATTACAGAAACCCCTTCCAGGCAGCACTTGGCATTCCAGCACGTCCCAACGCGCGAGGCGGCACGGTGGCGGAATTCTGGACTCTTAGATCCCAACCTTTCTTAGGCGCCCTCCTGTTTTAGATATTCAGTTGTTTTCCTTGGCCTTCCTTTCCCCGGGGGGGGGCGGGAACCAAATCTACCTTCAACGCCTTCCTGCCGACCCACGTCCTGAAAGATGGGCCCTGATATTCCACGTCGCGAAAGAGAGTAAACACCGCGGAGAATCACGACCAGAGCCCTAGACCCAAATTTTTGCCGCATTTCTCGAGCCAGCACGATCTGTGATGGTCCCGGGGCCCGAGCCCGGGCGAACATACCCCGCGTGATGAGCGGAAGCTCCCTGGTGTCCGGGGGCATCGCTACCCCCTGCCAGGGTTCTCGAAGAACCTCGAGGACCAGGTCCGCGACGGCTTCCTGGGCGCCAACGCGCTCGCCAACCCCCCGAAGCAGAGGGCCATGCCCCCGAGGTGAACGGGCCCCGGGCCAGCCCTGGCCGCCACGGCGCCGCGGCGCGGCGACGCCTGCGCCGGTGGAGAGCCGATCGGCGGACCGCTCATCGACGGAACGCCGGTCGGCTGTCGATACGATGCTGGTCTCGCCCTGGAAGCAAGCGGGTCTTGATGGGATACCAGGCATGCCTTCGTCGTGACGCATCGCGACGGGAGGTGTTGGGCAGTTTTCGGTTTCTGCGGGCCCCGGCTGGGCTTCGGGACCGTCAGCAGAACGACTCCTAGCTCTGGGGAAAGGGTCGGGACTTCTGGGGACCGCGTAGTGAAAGACTCAAAGCGTTGCGTGTCGGGGGATGGGATCGGAGGGTCTCGAGGTATACACCACGTCGTCTGGTCGGCCGAGGGCCGAAGAGCTCAGAAGTTCGGCGGAGGAATTCGGTGTGTAGGCGCCCCAGAGACCCATAGATTGGGCAAGTTGGGGCGTCTAGACACCGAGCCCCATTGGCCGACCAGACGGCTTGGTGTATACTTCGAGCCGCTCCCAGGGCAACCGAGACGTCCGGCGGCTCGAAAGTATCGAGGCGACTGGTCTTTCTTTGCCTTCGGCCTCTATGGGGGCCGGCTCCGGGCCCCAGGGCCGTCCACAAAAGCGTCTCGGAGTGTACGCCGTGGCCCCGCGGAGGGGGTGGAGAGGCCTGGTGGCCCCTGCCTCGAACAAAACGAGCCGCCAGATGTCTGGGAGCCCCCCTCGGGCCCGAGCTCACGAAAAGCACTGCTGCGCGTGAGTGTTATGACATCCCCATTCCTTCAGGACCCGTTTCCTTCCTGCCAGCGGTCGGCTTGAAGCCGTCGGTGCTTTCAAACGGTGCCAGATCTCTGGGTGCAGCCAGTGCCGGCAGGAACGCAGCTCCATAGAGGGCCTGTCGGCAGAGCTTGTGGAACGCTGGGGGCTGGGCCTCCCCCTGCTTCTTCGGCGTGGTCTTCCTCTGGCGACTCGTGGCCCGAGCGCTTGCCGTCTCACGCCCGAGCGTCCCCGCCTCCCTGCGAGGGGCAACCGAGCTGAGCTGGCGGCCTGCAAGGCGCTGTGAATGATTTGAGCCCCTGCCCCCGTGCACCTCGTGACAATTACTTTGATCTGCCCCATGCCGCATACCCATTGGTCGTTGAAAGTAGGTTTCCCAATATACTGTATGCACCGTCTTACTTCAAGAGTCGAGCGGATTTCCCTCTTCCCTCTTCGGGGAGCGGGCGGAAGCCCAATGTGTTTCAACACTTCCTACTTCATGTCTCTCTCTCTCTCTCTCTCTCTCTCTTTATATATACACATTTGTGTGTATATATATATATATATATATACACACCCACGTCTTCCGACCGATGGGTACTTGTGGCAGCAGCCGTGACGGCGCCAAAGGGTGCGCCCAGGGTGCGGACGTTGCGTCGCGCGCCTGGCGGTGCGCATGTAACCGTTGTAGGCGAAGCGCGTCCAGGCCGTGGGCCTGCGTAGGTATGCGCTTCGCGACCTCCGCAGAAAAAGAGAGCTGCCTACCTGTTCTAAGCCGCTTGAAGCAAAACGCGTGTGTCCAGCGCCTGACGTTGATTTGGAGACGCAAAGGGGGTATGCAAGCCATCTGGTGGAGGCTATGTGGTGCAATCCACTCTGCTGAACTTGAAGTCGTCATCTCCACTGCTCGCGCAAACATCCCACCCACCCACCCGCAACTTGGTTTGCAAAACCTCTTCAGACCGACTACGACGACACCGACGACAACGACTACGACGACACCGACGACGTCTCCGACGACTTCGACGACGACAACGACGCCGACGACGACGAAGACGACGACGACGACGCCAACGAAGGCGACGACGAGGGAGGAGGAAGGACGACGACGGCGACAACGACGACAACGACGACAACGACGAGGGAGGAGGGAGGACGGCGACGACGCGAACGACGAAGAAGGAGGAAGGACGGCGACGCCGACGACGACAACGACGAGGGAGGAGGGAAGACGACGACGACAACGACAACGACGACAACGGCGACGAAATAGGAGGGACGACGACGAGACGCCGGCGACGGACGACGACGACGACGAGGGAGGAGGAGGAAGGACGACCACAGCGACAACGACGACGGAAACGACCACGACGCCAAAGAGGACGATGACGACGAACACGAGGAAAGAAAGAGGACGACGTAGGCGACGACGACGACGACGCGGGAGGAGGGAGGACGGCGACGACGACGACGACGCAAGAGCGCGCGCGCACGCTTTTGTTGAAAATCCGTGTTGCGAAACCGTGGGTTTTTGCATGTTTTTTGGACACACGATTTTGAAATCCTTCCGAAACCGATGGGTTTTGAAGGATTTCGGCATACGCGCGCGACGACGCGCGTGTCTGCACTTCGTCCCGTTTTTTGCAGAGGGTTCTCGCGACGGCACACGCGCGAGGGCGTTCGACTGATTTCGATATGCGCGCGCGCGACGCCCGTTTGGTAGCATGTTGTGAAAATATTGAAAACCGATGGTTTTTTTTCAAGATTTCGCAAGAGCTCGCGCGGAAGCTTTTTCAGCAAATCAGTGTTGCGAAACCCTGTGTTGTGGTATGGTTTTTGGAGACTCGATTGCGAAATCCTTCCGGCACCGAAGGTTTTTGAAGGATTTCGGCATGCGCGCGCGACAACGCGCGCGCGTGTGCATTTCGTTTTATTTGTTGCAAGGGATTCGTGATCAAGTGCTATGTTAGAACAAAACATGTCACCGCATAGTGTTTTTTACAAGGGAACCTCAGGGGGGGGATACCGCCCCCCCCAGGGATAGTGCAAATTCATATTTATGATGGACATGTGGTCATAATCATATATGATTTACATACCCGAAAGGGGGACCCATAACGCCGGGGGGGGGAATTCCTATTCTGTTTTTAGATAGGAGAATCTACGTCGTGCAAGCTATGTGGTGTAAGCTAGGTGGTGCAAGCTATGTGGTGCAAGCGAAGAGGTGCAAGCTATATTGCTAGGTTCCGGGCTGATGGGTCAGAGTCGCTCTCTCGAAAGGTGTGGCTCTCGCTTGTAGTTTCTGTTTGTTGGGTTGGCGGATTGTGTATCCGGATTGCGTTATCAAGACCCTTTTCTTATCTCCTCCCCCCCTCTCTGATTTGTTTGTCCTTCCATCTTCCCCATTGCTTCTCATGGCGGGTCCGCTGCTGCTCCTCCCGTTGCTGCGCATCGCCAGCTTAATACTCGTCCTCGCTCTCCTCTTCGTCCTCGTTCATTTTCGCTTCCCTCCCTCGTCCACGTCCTCGTCGCCGTTCGCGCTCGCTTCTTCCTTTGCCTCCTCTTCCTCATTCTCGTTCACGGTCTCCTCGCCCTAATCCTCGTCCTCGTGCACGCTCTCCTCCTCGATCACGTTCACGTCCTCCGCTCTTTCTTCCTCCACCACCTTCCCTCGACCTCCTTGTGCTTAGCAAATCGTCGTCTCTCACTTCCTCGCTTTCTTTCTTTCTTTCTTTATTTTTCTCTCTCCCTCTCTCTCTCTCTCTCGGCACACGCTTATGTTCGTGATCCTCCCAAGCCTGCGTGACTTGGTCTTATCTTTTCGTCGCCAGTTTCCTTCTCCTTCTCCATTTTATGTTGTTACCCGTTGCCCGTCCCTTCTTCATTTCTTCTTCTCTCTTCTCCTGGAACTGCTCCAATTGTCGTTGGCGCTTTGACCGTCACGCTCCCTCTGACCCCCCCCCCGATCACTACCGACTTCAAGCGAAACGAGGAAACCGAGGCTCAGCTCAAGCAGTGACGCGGAGAAAAGAAGCAAAGACCATAGCATCGCAGACACATCGCATGCGGCGCCAAGCAGTCCAACGCCAAGCTTGCATCGCGCAAACAAGATGCCATGCAACCGATTGTTTTTCTTGTCATCATGGCCCCATGTGGTTCGGTAGCACTCCCTAGCTGAAACTGCCCAAGCCCCCCGTGTCAGTCGGAAACCCGAGGTCAAGCTGAAGAAGCCAAACCCAGCGCAATGACCGAAGACCGTCAGAAGACCGTTGAAGACCGCCCAACGCCGATGGCTAACAAGGGGTTCGTGGTCGAACACGTACCAGTCGAAAGTCCCACAGATGTGGAATGGGGCCCCCATTTCTACGTTCTTCCCTCCCTCTCCGTCGCCGAGCAGCACCGACTGCTTGGGGCCGTCGGGGCGGCGCGCGCGTGCGGGGGACATGCCTCATTCGGGTGCAGGGCCTGCCCTTCGCCTCGATCACGACCTGGGCAGGTCCAGGAAACCCGCGCGGACCTCCACAAGCTCATGTGCAGGCAGGTCTTTTTGGCTGGATCCTGTTCTTCCTTCTCCTCCTCCTCCTCCTCCTCCTCAGCCACGAGGGCACAGGTGCGACGCCAAGTGGCGTCATCTGATAATGTGGCTACACTTACTTCTACCTCACACTCCATGGGATGTTGACGTTTCCTCGCTGCTGACTGCTGCGTTTCTTGGGGATGTTTGATCTCCGAGTCGGATGCTATAATCCCTTTTCGGCCAACGCACTAGACAGGGTGGAGGATATTGCGAGGCGGACAACGCATTTTGATATCTTGGCTGTGATTGGTACCAAACAGAAAGCTTCGACGGGCACCAACATACGTCGTCGTGTCATCTTGGCGGGAGAGAAGGGCACATGTCACCGACGTTGTCTGGATGCTGGGTATGCTGTGTCTCCATATGTGACGACTTCGTGCGGCATTAGCATAATTTGGGGGAGGCGCATCCGTGCTGAACATCTTGTGCAGATCACCCCTGCTCCAGAGTCCATTCGAGGTCGAGGGCTCTTGACCCGCGCGAAGAACGGCATGATGGACGTGACTGTGATTGCTGCATCTTTTCCTCCTCGCCCTCGCGAGCTGGATGCGCAGGAATGTTACATAACGGCTTGTGACAGGCTGTCGAGCTGGATTGCGACGTGTTTAGCTTCTCTTCCATCGCGCACGACACCATTTTTCTGTTGTGATCTCAACGATGG